TTTTCTTCTTTTTCTAGGGTTTTTAAGTGGGCCATTAAGTTGCTTGAATGAGCTGTCTCGAATTTCTTCTTGAAGGCACTTAGTGCTATGAACTTTCCTCTTAGCACTGCTTTCATTGTGTCCCACAAGTTTGGGTATGTTGTGTCTTCATTTTCATTGAGTTCTAGAAAGGCTTTAATTTCTTTCTTTATTTCTTCCCTGACCCAGCTGTCATTTAGTAACAAGTTGTTCAGTTTCCATGTGTGTGTAGGCTTTTTGCTATTTCTGTTGTTGTTGAAGTCCAGCTTTATTCCATGGTGATCAGACAGGATACAAGGGATTATTTCAGTCTTCTTGTATCTGTTGATGCTTGCTTTGTGACCAACTATATGGTCTATTTTGGAGAAGGTTCCATGAGGTGCTGAGAAGAAGGTAAATTCTTTTGTGTTTGGGTGTAAAGTTCTGTAGATGTCTGTGAGGTCCATTTGATTCATGACCTCTGTCAGAGATATTGTTTCTTTGTTTAATTTCTGTTTTGTTGACCTGTCCTTTGTTGAGAGTGGGGTGTTGAAGTCTCCCACTATTAATGTGTGGGGATCTATATGTGGTTTAAATTTTATCATTGTTTCTTTTACAAATGTGGGTGCTCTTGTATTTGGGGCATAGATGTTCAGGATTGTGATGTCTTCCTGGTGGGATTTTCCCTTGATGAGTATGAAGTGTCCTTCCTCATCTCTTTTTATTAATTTTGGTTGAAAGTCTATTTTATCAGATATTAGAATGGCTACTCCTGCTTGTTTCTTGGGTCCATTTGCTTGGAAAGTCGTCTTCCAACCTTTTACCCTCAGGTAATGTCTATCTTTGTGCCTTAGGTGTGTTTCTTGTATGCAACAGATTGCTGGGTTTTGTTTACGTATCCATTCTGTTAATCTGTGTCTTTTTACTGGAGAGTTGAGTCCATTGATGTTGAGAGAAATTAATGACCAGTGGCTGTTAGATCCTTTGATTTTGATATTGGCTGTGGTCATAAGGTTGTGTGCTTGGTTGCTTTTTGTTTTGCTGTAGTAAGGTTAATTATTTCCTGTGTTTTCTTGACAGAAGCTAATTTTCTTGGGTTGTATTTTCCCTTCCAGTATCTTCTGTAATGCTGGATTTGTGTGTAGGTATTGTTGAAATTTGTTTTTGTCATTGAATATCTTGTTTTCTCTGTCTATGAGGACTGAGAGTTTTGCAGGGTATAGTAGCCTGGGTTGACATCTGTGTTCTCTTAGGGTCTACATGATATCTGTCCAGGCCCTTCTGGCTTTCATAGTTTCTGTCGAAAAGTCAGGTGTGATTCTAATGGGTTTGCCGTTATATGTTACTTGGCCTTTTTCCCTTGCAGCTTTTAGTATTTTTTCTTTGTTCTGTATACTTACTGTTTTGATTATTATGTGGCGGGAGGATTTTCTTTTCTGGTCAAATTTGTTGGGTGTTCTGTAGGCCTCATGTATCCTTATTGGCTTCTCCTTTAACTTGGGGAAATTTTCTTCAATGATTTTGTTGAAAATATTTTCTGGGCCTTGGAGAAGGGAGTCTTCTTTTTCCTCTATTCCTATTATTCTTAGGTTTTGTCTTTTCATATTGTCTTGGATTTCTTGGACGGTCTGTGTCAGGAATTTTTTGGATTTAACATTTTCTTTGACAGATACATCGATTTCTTCCATTGTATCTTCTACACCTGAGATTCTTTCTTCCATTTCTTGTAGTCTGTTATTATGCTTACCTCTGTAGTTCCTGTTTTCTTCCCTAAATTCTTCCTCTCCATTATTTCCTCCATTTGTGTTTTCTTTAATTTTTCTAGTTCTATCTTCAGGTCTTGAGTTGTTTTGTTTACTTCCTTCACCTGTCTGCTTGTATTTTCCTCTTTTTCTTTTAGTTCCTTCAACTCTGTCTCTTTGATTTCTTTCAGTGATTTAATTATTTCTTCTCTGAAGGCCACAAGCTGTTTGGCTGCATCTTCCCGTATTTCTTCACGGATGGCCCTAATCTGCTTGTCTTTATCTTCCTCCATTTCTTTACGTATAGCCATGATCTGTTTGGTTTTATCTTTCTCTAATTCTTTACGTATTTTATCTATTTCCTCTATTATTCTCTTCATCAACATAGATGTAAGGTCATCTTCTTGATTTTCTATTATGCTGCATTGTTCAGGGCTGTTCGCCCCTGGATGGCTGGGTTCTGGAGATGCCATTTTGCTCTGTCTCTTGTTGGTTGAGCCTTTACGCTGACCTCTACCCATTGGGCTGATTTAGGTGTTGGCTGTTAGTTTCTGTGCTTCCTGGAGTCCTGAGGTAGGGAGTATCCCCTTGGCCGGAAGATGATTTTTCCTGAAGGAGTCCTTCTCTGCTTTTTGGTTATGGTCACTGTATGGCCAGTGTTTCTCCGGAGTTGCCACTGCTCACCTCAGGTTTATAGCCCTGAGTAGTAGCTGTGGTCTATGTTAGGCAGGGGGGGATCTCCTCTTACCCATAGAATTTCTCAAGACAGCTGCTGGGTTTCTTGTTATAAATTTAGTGTGCTGCTGCTCACTAAATTTCCATGTACAGTCCTCTTGAAGAAACTACTGATTCCCTAGCTGTGGGGTTTTCTCCCAACAGGGAAACTCAGTCTGTTATCCTGGGGCGCAGAGTTCTGTCCGGGAAAGTGGGAGGTGCACTCAGCAAGTCTCTGGGCCAAAGGCTGATTGCTCTGCTCTGGGCCTGGAGAATGTGCACCTAGGTTGAGTTGGCGCCTGGGGGCACTGCTCTGGTCTGGAGGCTGGGTGCCTCACTCTGGACCAGAAGCTGTGTGTCTCTGTCTGGGATGGCGGCTGCAGGTACCACTCTGGTCCAGATGCTGTGGGTGCAGCCCCCCTGAAGGATCAGGGATTCCCACAGTTTTGACAGTCCAGCCAGGGACAACTGGCCGATCCCTGGCACAGTATCTGAGGGCTGCTGTAATGGCTCTTTGGCTCCTGCAGGTCTAAGGATGCAGCTGTGTGTCCCAGTGCCCCAGGGGAACGCAACAATGGTGGCAGAGCACAGCGCTCCTGCCTGCACTAGAGTCTGCGGGAGTCCAGGAAGTGTTTTGGTGCTGGGTGTCCTAAGTGTTAGAGCTGCTGACCCCCTCCGCTGGGGGTTTCCTCCTGCCAGAGACACGCAGTCTGGTGCCCTGGTGCCCACAGTTCTATCTGAGGCGGCGAATCACGCGCGCAGACAGGGCTCCGTGCAGGAGCCTGGGTTCCCGGCTCTGGCTCTTGGGGTACCCGCGGAACCAGAGTCTTTTCCAGGGGATGTCTGGGTAACCTGGGGTCGGTCCCAATTGTTTCCTGCTCCGTGGGGTTATCTCTCGACTGGGAAATCCAGTCTATGGTGTTGTGGGCCCACAGTTCAGTCTGGGACCGTGACCAGATTGTGCTGGCGTGTAGCCCCGGGCTGACGACCAAGAGCCTGGCGGAACCAGGATCTCTTCCGCGGTTTAGCCGGGCGAGTTAAAGCTGATTGAATCCCCCACCGTGGGGTATCCTCTCACCTGAGAAACACAACCACTTGTGTTTTATGGCCGCGAGTTCTGATTGCTGGTCACTTTGCCAATCCTGCTGTGCTGCTCCTCAGAATGAGAGTCCTCCTGGCGCCACCATCTTGCCCCGCCTCCTACAACCCAGTTTTAAACCTCAAGATTCTCCTGCTGATACACTCAGTGAACCGGAGAATGGGTATACAGCATGCTCTCTTCCATCTTGTTTCTTCATGCAGATAGATGTTAGAACCATGTCTGGCAGGTGGCAAGTGCTCAAGCACCGTCAGCCATCAGAAAGGTAGCGGCACTGGAAATCACTGATGATTTAAGCATCATTTAATTCTTTTCATATTATATGCTGAAGTAACTGGACTCACAGAGATTTATTTTTCCTGAAATTCGACCTCTTGTTTCTTAGTTTAAAATTCTCTCAGGGAAAAATGTCTCTAAGTTCAACATTTTTATTTCATTCTGTCTGAACCTGCCATTCTGCAGACTCTATGGCTCAGAAATCTACCGTGAGTTAGCCACCTCATGGAGTTCCTCCTGTCCACATGATTCATTGTCATTGGTTTCCAAGTCCTTCTGTGTTTGGGTGTGCTCCTAATCTCTTCCAAGGATGCCCTTATGTCCACGTGAATCAAGTCACACGGGTGGAACGGGGAGCCTTTTATCTGGGAATCTCCTTTAGGAAGATTCTGTGGCTCCATCCATCTGTAGCTCCAGATGGACCTTAACTGCCACAGACAGCTAAGGTGTGAACATCCACTCTGGCTTCCTATAGCAACTGATTCCACTGTAGGCACCGCTAGGGAGACACACCTGGGATTTCATTTCAGGCTCTTCGTTACATTTCATTAGTTTACTCTGGTTTATGCCTGGGGCTTTGTTCTGGTCCATTGGTGAATGATGCGCTGATGGTTCCTACACGAACTGACAATTCCTGGTGGGTTTTGCCACACTTTCTCCAAACTACCATTTAAGCTGTCCTGGTTATCTTTTTATTGTGTTTTGGAAACAATGTTTCACTTTATGGCTCAAGGTGGCTTCAAAGCCACAATCCCACCTTATGTCTCATTGTAGGATTGCAGGCATGCCTCACCTGACCTAGTTTAAGGCTATTATCATCACCGGCGGCGGAATGTGTATGTGTGGTCTGCTATTGAATTTAGAGCCTCGTACATGTTAGGACAGCACGTCACCAACACCCTTCAGTTATCTTATTTCCTTTCTTCCCTCTGTGCACTGGCAGGCGTTATCGACTCTATGGACAACAAAACAACTGATATCCCCAACCGGAACAAGCTCTACCAAGCAGGTGGCCTCTGTCTCTCTCTTCAGTGCAAGGGGCAGCTATGACAGGAGGTTTATTTTTTTTCTCCTTAAAGAAACTCTCTCTGCCAAACTAGAAGAAACAAAGGAAAAGAGCAGTGATTTCTGACTGTTTAAAAACCAACGGTTAGCACTGTCTAGATCCATACCTGTGGGTATATTCATGAGGTAGAACAAAAGATAACTCATTTCCAACATTAGTCTTCAAGGTGGCTGTTGATGCGTAGTCATGGATAAGTTTTACGACTTCATCAGTGTCACAGTACGTTTCCTTCACCATGACTATGTGGTACCCGACACCTGAGGAAATGCATTCAGAAGACCAAATTCAATGCTTTTGTACTTCCTATCTTCTTATGAGACCATACTTGGCTTTCTATGGTTTCGGTAAACTAAAGGAAGATACAGCATGTCGCAAGTTATTTGGCTATCCAACTCTCAGAAGCACAGCATTACATAATATAATCATGATTTAACCTAGATAGCTATATAAGGGATTAATTATGATCTGGATTATAAAACCAGATAGAGCAGAGATAACATTAAAGGCTATCTGATCTCTCTTTCTACTGATGTTGAAACTGAAGAAAACAAGATTAATATTCATTAAATAGGTGTTTGCTTTGTCCGTGTTCTATGTAGAAACTACACAAATCAAACAAAAATTCTTTTCTTTTAGGATCTGAGAAATCTTTGCAAAATATTCTAGTTTAAACTCTTTCATCATCTCCTCCCTGCCACCCTGAACCTCCTCCCTTTTCTCCTCTTACTCTTTCACCTCCTTCTTCTCATCTTGTTTCTCCTTCTTTTTCCTCACTGGTCTTTCTAAAGCTATGTGAAGGATAGGGTATGAAGGGAAATCCCTCCAAGGCACTCTAGGACTTGTGCTCCTACCAGTGGCATTCTGGTACCTGAGGCTTGGACAACAGAACTAAGGGACATGTCTCTTGGGTATCTGAGCCCATCACCTGACAAGGATCCTTCGAAAAAGGGAGGGAGGTAGAAAGGGAGAGGGGGAGAGATAGTGCAAGAGAGCAAGTGAGCAGCAGGGTGATGAGGAAATTCATGTGGGGTGGGGGTGGGGGTGGGGAATGGCAATCAAAGGTGATAAGTGTGAGTCACAAGGCTGGTGCCTGGATTGCCTGAAGGGAACACCATCTTCTTACATGTAGGTCTCAAGCTCTCTTTAACAGTAACAGCCTATTTCCTTCCTAAAATGTTTAAAGAGAGTGATGAGCAGAACCCAAAGCTGTACCACAATACCGGATTTCCCTGAACATAGGTTCTATTGACTTTATCATTCACACACATGGCCTGACATTGATAAGGGCATATGCTTCTTTGAGATAAATATTACATGCTTTAGTTTCTACTGTATTTTTTCCCACAAAATATAAACTATGTCAATAAATAAGCAAGCACATCTGATACATATAATACTATATAGTATAGAAAATTAGAAGCAGAGATTGGCCTAGACGTAGAAATTACAGGAGAAAAACTATAAAATAACCATGACAACTATATTAACCAATCTACTAGAAACAGAAAAACAAAGAGTTGAGTCAATTATAAATTTTGCAGACTGATGAAAACTATAAAATAAGGCCAGTGGAAACAGCAGAAAAGTACAGAGGTCACTTAACAGTCTCAGCATTATGGTAGAGAGAGAAATAGAAAGAATCAATAGCGCTGTAAAAAGATCACTAAAAGTGATCCAAATGGGGATGCAAAAAAAATGAAGTGTAAGAAAACAGATAATACCATAAGCAGAAAATCACAGTTATCATGTACTAGAAAATAATTGGAAAATTTAATATGTCCTTGTGAAAGTACATCCCAAAAGTTCTATTAAAATTCTATCAAACAAAGATTACGCATCCATTGAAAACATTCATAATAAATGAGTATGAGTTTAGCTCTTGGCCTTGATGATTTTAGTATGTCCTAACAGAACTTCCACCAGGAACATCTGAAAGAAATGGACAAATGTGAAAGCACAGCTTCAGGTAGCAGGCAAGGGGTAGCTGAGGCCACCCATGCCTGTTCGAAGAAGACAAGATGAGATGTGCAGTCACCCCAGTTTTGCTCGGAGGTGATTTTTGCATGGAGATGCAGGGAAGGGGAATACAATGGCTCCCAGAGCTTCCACACCTGAGTTGAGAAGTTGGAAATCAAGTGAGGGAGACTAAGTCAGGACTACAGCCACACGTTGTGAAGATGATTTGAGCGCAGAACTCTGCAGCCAAATCACACCGGAACCAAAGCTGGAGAGCTGGCTCAGGGGGAAAGCGCACTTCCTGTGCAGCGTGAGAGCCCGAGTTTGAGTTAACAGTGTCACTACATGCATGCCTACAACCCCAGAGTTGGAGGGTGAAGTCAGGCAGATCCTAGGAGGCTATTATGTGAGCAACCCCATCTGGGGGGGAATGAGGCAGACAACAATAGAGAAAGACACCTAATTTCTTCCTCTGGTCTCTACATGTGAGCACAGGAGTGTGCACACCAGCACACACACAACACACATGGCACATACACACAGAAATGAAAATTGAAAGAATTACCCACAGAAACCTCATAAATGTGTCTCTTTTAGTCTTTGCTGAATGACAGGCTCTATAGACAGCAATGGAACTCTCTGTGACTGGGTTTACCTTTTTAAAAACTTCTGTTATCATCTCACGAAAGACTAGAGCTCACATAGCTAAGCTGAAGTAGTAAATCAGTGATGATCAGTCAGGATCATCACTCTATGGTGAAGACTCTATGGTCCTCAGCAATAGAAATGAACATACTCAGTGGCCCACATTAGCCAAGGTGAAAAAGCAGGTCTCAACACTGCACACGAATGTCCCAACCGGATGTTGGAAGAGGGCCCAAAACTCTCATAAGACATGTCCCCAGTCAAAGTCTACATATTCAACAACATACTACATAAGTTATAGCAAGCAGACAAGAGGTTCTGGATGGCATGAGATAGTGCCTAGCCAGGGGCAAAACCCAGTAGAAATGGACCCAGAGACTAAGACCTACCAGCTAAGTGAAATGAGAGCTCACAGGTATTAGGCACGTCCAGAGAAAAATCTCACAGTTCTTTGCACCGAAATAAGAGAAGCCTGACAAGAAAGGGAAGTAGAGGAGACTAATGACACAGCAGAATGCACATCACAGAACTGCAAATCCATGTAGATGTTAAAAGATAGACAAATATCTTCTCAGACAAAATCAGGATGAAGTTATAAATCAGTAACAGAAAAAGGCTGGGAAGTTCAGAATTATGTGGGAATCAAGCCGTGTATGCCTAAAGAGTCAGTAAGTTACATCAAAAATCACCAGGGAAATTAGAAAGCTATCTATCCCCCTCTTGTGTCTATTTCTGTGTCTCTGTATATAATCATCATCTCACTGATGAACAATTGCATTAGATTACACTTAGCTAGAAAACATGGGAGAGGAATGAGCACCAACATTGCATGATAAAATAAACACAGAAGTGGGAAATGATTTTTGAAGAAAATGGAAACTTTGCTCAAAGGGCTTCCAGCTGAGTGTTAGTTGAGCCCGGCATAGGGGCTCACTCAAGTTTGGACTATATATACAAAATCCAACGGGAATTATGTTAAAAGGATATTATTTAGGCAGCAACATTCTAAGAATAATAAAAGGCAATAGACCGTAGAGTCTTTTCAGGAAGACCGGAGAGCCACAGCACCGCAAGGTTCCCTGGACCATGATAGCAATGCGATCACCCAGCATGTCAGCTTCGTCCATGTAGTTGGTGGTCAGCAGGATGGTGCGGTTCTGTTTGTAAGTTTGAAGGATATCCCAGGTGGTCCTCCTGGAGGCTGGGTCCATGCCAGATGTGGGCTCATCAAGTATCACCACCTGGAGACGGGACAATTCTATGACTGTGTAAATATGGGCTTGTCTCACGGTGTCCTACCAGCACTGGGCTGGTTCTTGCTTTTCTTTTTAGACCAAATGTCCGACTGAGCAAAGGTAATGAGTTTATATAAAACTAGGACTCCTGTACTAAAGCCAAAGCCATGGTCATTTTATACCAAGGAGGCTGACGATGGGAATTCCATCCAAGGGGGCTGCTTTCAGAGTGTTAAAACTGTGTCAGCCTTTTGATTTGTGTCCCTTGGATTTTTAAGCCAGGTGTAGTGCGGGGCTATCTGCCCTTAGCTTTCCCCCTTTACCTTAGAGCCCCCTATGAGCGCTATGATGATGGCGAGTTTGCGCTTCATGCCTCCACTCAGTGACTTTGAAAACGTATCACGCTTTTCCAGCAGGTTAAAAGCCGACAGCATGTTGTTAGTTTCCTGAATACGTATCTTTTGAGGTATTCCTTTTACCTAGGAGAAGAAGGCAGAGTTTGCATGGCACTTTCAATTTTAGCCTCAGAACTTCCTTGTAAGAATTATTTTCTGTTTTTGAGAATTTCATATGTGTATATGAAGTATTTTGTCATATCGATCTTCCCCCTCCTCTTCAGACTCCCTCCCCTCAGCACCCCCTACCATGTCTCCCTCCAAACTTTACACTGGCTTTCATGCCAATCAGCGCTGTCTGCCCGTGAGGGCGCCCCCTGGAGCGAGTCACCTACAAGCAGCCATTATCGCTATCTCAGCAGGCAACTTCCAAAGCTCCTCCTCTAGAGGTGGGGCTGTGTGAGTCTCCCCACCATCTATGCTGGAGTGTCTGGTGCAGCTCTTGTGCAGACAACTGCAGCTGTCCTGAAGGTAATGGTTCTTTCCACTTTTCCTGACCTCTGGAAATATCTCACATCGACTCCTTCCTTACATCAGCTCTGTAGTGGCTTATTGCCTTTCTCACTCTTTTAAGTTTAGAAGAAAGTTCATCTAAATTCCTCATGTCATGAACTTTGCAAGAATAAGGGCATCGGTAGTTGATAATCTACCTGAACAGAACGGAAGGAAAAAAATATATATCCGTGGATTACCCTGCAGTAGAAATAAAGGTGTTCTGATACTGTCAAGTGATCAAACAGCAGGTTCTGCTGAGGACACAAGCCCAACGAACTCCTGATTTGAGCCATATGCTGTGAAATGTTGTATCCGTTAACATATGCTTCTCCTCTGGTAGGGGGATAAAGACCTAGAATCAGGCAAAGATGAAACACAAGCAGCTTTTGTGAGGATACAGGCTCATTAACTCCTCTGACAAGACTCTACACACTGACTTAGATTACTGAAATACTTGTTGGCCTCTTTCAGGATCATGTTAGAAATAATTTGCTACATTTTTTTCTGTTTACCTGTATGCTCTGATTTTTCATTATTTAGTGGTGAAGGGAAGAATCACGTGGAGTGATGAAGGCATGAACGTGTAACATAGGGATCAACCAGTACCACCAGCAGCCACTTGTCAACAGTTAACTATTTAGAGTATAGTCTGTGCCATACACTTGGAAAGACACATTTTTTATTTTAATTTTTATTAATTACAATTTATTCACTTTGTATCCCCCCTGTAGCTCCTTCCCTCCTCCCCTCCCGATCTCACCCTCTCCCCCTTCTCTACCCATGTCCCTCCCCCAGTTCACTGATAGGGGAGGTCCTCCTCCCCTTCCTTCTGATCCTAGTCTATCAGGTCTCATCAGGAGTAGCTGCATTGTCTTCCTCTGTGTCCTGCCTCTATGTAAGGCTGTCAGGACCTTTGGTCACCTCAAAAGAGGTGATCAAAGAGCAGGCCAATCAAATCATGTCAGAGACAGTCCCTGTTCTCATTACTATGGAACCCACTTGGACACTGAACTGCCATGGGCTACATCTGTGCAGGGGTTCTAGGTTATCTCTATGAATGGTCCTTGGTTGGAGTATCCATCTCAGAAAAGATCCCTGTGCCCAGATTGTTTTGGTTCTGTTGCTCTCCTTGTGGAGCTCCTGTCCTCTCTAGGTCTTACTATTTCCCACTTCTTTCATAAGATTCCCTGCACTCTGCCCAAAGGTTGTCCATAAGTCTCAACATCTGCTTTGATACTGTGCAGGGTAGAGCCTTTCAGAAGCCCTCTGTGACAGGCTCCAAAATCTGTACACCTAAAGAAACTAACCAAGAAGGAGGACTCTGGCTAAAATGCTCAATCCCCCATTGAGAAAGGCAAAGAGGATGGACATCAGAACAAGGATAAAACAGGGAAGACATCTCTTAAAGTGGAAAACCCACACCATAAAACTGTTACCCTTGCCTTGCCAGACTTAAATGATGGTTGGTAGAAAAATACATAGCCACCCAAAATAATTTCAAAATGGTTCAGAGGGTTGTACAGTCTTAGGCAGCTGTCAGGAGTGATTAATTTTAATGAAAAATACTGCTTTAAATGTGATAACTCAGTAATCTTTTCTTGAGAAAGGATCTTGCTATGTTGCTCAGAGTAGTCTGCTGAGTTCTTAGGCTCCAACATCCCCCTCAAAATTCATGGTGTTTTCATTGTTGTTGTATATCCTCCCCACATGCGTATATATGCATGTATGTATGTATGTATGTATATACGTGTGTATGCATATATAACCTACCAAGCCATGTTTTGCTTTGCCCATATGTGAGTGTCCAGTGCTGACCGCTTGGGATTGGACAACTGATGAGCTTTTCTCTTTGTCTCTCAGTAGTTATTAGCCAACTGTAGCTCTTCGTGTAGGAATAGGACCATGTGGAATTTCCCCTGTTCACATTAGCATAACAACTTAGCTAGTCTTGTTTGGGTAATCATAATATTGAAGGTCATGGCTGCATGTTCCTGTCATGTTCAGGGGGCCATAAAAACAGATTTCTTGGGCTTCTGGTTCTAAATAATCTTTCTGCCCCCTCTTCCTCAATTATCCCTGAGCCTTAGATGTAGGGGTTATGGTGTAGACATTTGAGTTGGGTTTGGACACTTCACAGTCATGTATTATCTGCTATTTGTACAGTTGTGGATTTCTGTAGGCTCCACCTGTTATGGAAATAATCTTTGGTGAGTGGTGAAAGCTACATTTATCTGTGGGAATAAGGATGAGTATTTGGAATACAGATACAGATTATGTTTGTTTAGAAAAATAAAAGTAGAACGTGTAGTAAGGTCTCCTATAGGGTCCATGGCCTCTCTAGCCATGTGTGGTTGGTTAGGTTTACAGAACCAGACAAGAATTCCTCTTGTGCCGGCAATGCATTCAACTAGACAGCAGCTGCTTAGCCCGAAGATGAAGCGCCACTATTGTGCTCTTGGATTATCTTGTCATGCTGGCCATTATTATGGTTCATGTGCTTTACAGCTGTGTAGAGCTACTGATTGCTTTGCCCCCTTGATGCTTTGCATATCTCCTTCTGACAGTATGACAGCTAGTACTCAAGGAGAAAGAGGCTGCAGGGTCAGTTCCAGCTCACTGCCTCCAAATCCTGTGTCCAAATGTGTGGTATCTTCAGCCAAAATATCACACTGAGTGAGGTAATAATCCAAACCCAGAAAGACAAACGTGAATATGTAACCTATGGTAACCATAGAAAGCAGGACGGTAAAAAGGGACCAGGAGTGGAGAAAGAGTGACAGGATGTGGAAGAACAGGACACAGGCACTATAAAGGGGAGGATGGGAAAAAAGTGGGGGGAGGGAATTAACTGTAGCGGGAGAGAAAGGGAGGTGAGAAAAATAAACACAAAGATTGTTTGCAAAAAATCTAGAAACCATATTATTTTATGCTTATTTAAAATTATAGAAATATATATGTGTGTACATGTATCATTTTATTTTAAATGAAATTATGGCATCACTTGGGGTAATAATGCTCTTTCATATGAGCATTATGTAACAAGACCCAGGACCAGATATGGAAAACCTTCTCCTGCATTGCCAGGGGAGACTAAGAGACTTTCAAAGAACACAGGCCATTGCTATCACTCCTGGATGCCCCCTAGATTATGAAGCCAATAATCCACACCTAATATAATTATTGATATGGTTGGGTTTGTAGATGCCACATTCTTTTGTTTTCTGTGCTCCTTAGTCCTCTGTACCCTTTGTCACTTTCTTACACATTGAGCAAACATTTCTATCGTAATATTTTAATTCCTTTCATTTTTTTCCTCACTACTGCTTGTCTGCTTGTTTGTTTCTCTGAGAGAGATACATATTTGTCTGGATGCCTTGAATTTGCTTTGTTCAAGGACCTTGAACTACTAATCTACTTGCCTCTACCTCTTAAGTACTGGAATCACAGGTATGCGCCCTCACTCCTGACTGCCAGTGGTTTTTATTTTATCTTTGAGGCTGTTTTGGAGCTATTTCAAGTTTATAATAATTTAATTCTGACTTATCATGATGTCTGCATAGCTCCACCCTCTTCTTTCTGATACTATCCATTATGCATGGCATCTGTATATGTTATCAGCCATGGTGCGGTGGCATATTTTCATTTATTAAGGAAATGGTAACAGTGCATTAGTAGAGACTTACATTTCCCCTCTTCTTTAACACTTGCGGTAGTTCACATAGGGATGGTTCTCATAGCCTCAGAGATCTGAGTGCTCCATCAACCGGGAGGGGCACTAACAGGAGGTGTGGCCTTGCAGTGGGTGGAGCCTTGTTGGAGGAAGTGCGTCACTAGGGGTGGGCTTTGAGGTGTCAAATGCTCAAGCCAGGTGTGGTCTCTCTCTCTCTCTCTCTCTCTCTCTCTCTCTCTCTCTCTCTCTCTCTCTCTCCCTGTTGCCTGCCCCGATCCAGATGTAGAACCCTTGGTTCCTTCTCTGTCACCATGTCTGCCCCTGTGGAACCATGCTTCACTATGATGATAAAGGACTAACCCTATGGACCCATAACACAGCCCCAATTAAATGTTTTCATTGTTACCTTTGTCGTGGTCATGGAGTCTCTTCACCGCAATAGAAACCAGAACTAAAACAGCACTGTTCTTTCCGTTCCTTTTCCATTCTTTTCATTTTGGATCCAGTTCGTGGACTTGCGCTGCTATCTCGGTAAGACGCATCAACAGCATCTTTTTGACAGCCACACCTATCTGGTGGTGACAGTGTTGGTGGAATGCGTGCATTGACGTTTCTACCCGGGCTTACTTAGATTCAGCCTGAAGAGCCTCTTGGTATTCCTGACAAAGCGTTCTTCTAGAAATGGATTCCAGAAGGCTGTGTCCATCTGGGAATGTCATTCTTTCACGTGCACTTCTGAAAAGTAGGACTCAGACTCTTGTTTGTTGGTTGTTTTCCTTCTCCAGTTTAACTCACATCTGGCTGGTGTTGCCACCTATGGTGTCTGCTGTGCCTGAGGAATGGCACTCTCGGTGTGTTCAACATCTATAACACGTTGGGTGTGTGGTCCAGTTTATCTCACTAAAGATTTATTGGCTTCGTGGATAAGTCGTCTGATATTATAACTTTTATTTCCTAGAACACTTTTTCTCCTCCTTACTCCTTTTCTTCCCCATCTGGCACTGATAATACACATACATTCAGTGCACTTAAAGCCTGTGTTTCTCAGATGCTGTTAGTTTTCCTTTTTCTGTTGCTCACATGTGTCTATCAACCCCTCTTCAAATTCAGGGAATCTTTCTTCTGTCAGTTCACACCAAGTATTAATTTCTTATAGTGAATTTTTAAAATTTTTATTTTTATTAATTATAGTTTATTCACTTTGTATCCACCCCCCATAGCTCCCTCCCTCCTCCCCTCCCAATCCCACCTTCTCTCCCCCTTCTCCACCCATGCCCCTTCCCCAGCCCACTGATAGGGAGGTTCTCCTCTCCTTCCTTCTGATCCTAGTCTATCAGGTCTCATCAGGAGTGGCTGCATTGTCTTCCTCTGTGGCCTGGTCAGGCTGCTCTCCCCTCATGGGGAGGTGATCAAAGAGCAGCCCAATCAGTTCATGTCAGAGACAGTCCCTGTTCCCATTACTGTAGAACCCACTTGGACACTGAACTGCCATGGGCTACATCTGTGCAGGGGTTCTAGGTTATCTCCATGTATGGTCCTTGGCTGGAGTATCAGTCTCAGAAAAGACGCCTGGCCCCAGATTTTTTGGTTCTGTTGCTCTCCTTGTGGAGGTCCTGTCCTCTCCAGGTCTTCCTATCTCCCCTTTCTTTCAAAAGGTTCCCTGCACTGTGCCCAAAGTTTGGCTATAAGTCTCAGCATCTGCTCTGATACCCTGTAGAATAGAGCCTTTCAGGGGTCCTCTGTGGTAGGCTCCTGTTCTGTTCCCTGTTTTCTCCCTTTTCTGATGTCCATCCTCTTTGCCTTTCTGAATGGGGATTGAGCATCTTAGCCAGAGTCCTCCTTCTTAATTAGTTTCTTTAGGTGTACAGATTTTAGTAGGTTTATCCTATATTATATATCTAATATCCACTTATGAGTGAGTATATACCCTGTGTGTCTTTCTGTTTTTGGGATACTTCACTTAGGACACTTAGGACGATCTTTTCCAGTTCCCACCATTTATCTGCAAATTTCATGATTTCCTTGTTTTTTATTGCTGAGTAATATATTCCATTACGAAAATGTACCACAATTTCTGTATTCATTCCTCAGTTGAGGGGCATCTGGGTTATTTCTAGCTACTGGCTATTATAAATAAAGCTGCTACAAACATGGTTGAGCAAATGTCCTTGTTGTATACTTGAGCATCTTTTGGATATATGCCTAGGATTGGTATAGCAGGACCTTGAGGAAGCACTATTCCTAATTGTTTGAGAAAGTGCCAGATTGATTTACAAAGTGGTTGTACAAGTTTACATTCACCAGCAATGGAGGAGGGTTCCCCTTTCTCCAAAACCTCTCCAGCATGTGTTGTCACTTGAGTTTTTTATCTTAGCCATTCTGATGGGTGTAAGGTGAAATCTTAGGGTCGTTTTGATTTGCATTTCCCTGATGACCAAGGACTTTGAGCATTTCTTTAAGTGTTTCTCTGCCATTTGATATTCCTCTATTGAGAATTCTCTGTTTAGCTCTGTACCCCATTTTTAAATTGTATTAACTGGTTTGTTGCTGTTTAACTTCTTGAGTTCTTTATATATTCTGGATATTAGACCTCTGTCAGATATTGTTGGTGCAGATCCTTTCCCAATCTGTAGGCTGCCATTTTGTTCTGACAACAGTTTCCTTTGCTTTACAGAAGCTTTTCATTTTCATGAGGTCCCGTTTATTGATTGTTGCTCTTAGAGCCTGTGCTGTTGGTATTCTGTTTAGGAAGTTGTCTCTGGTGTCAATGAGTTCAAGGTTTTTCCCCACTTTTTCTTCTAACAGTTTTAGGATGTCTGGTTTTATATTGAGGTCTTTGATCCACTTGGACTTTAGTTTTGTGCAGGGTGATAAGTATGGATCTATTTGCATTTTTCTACATGTAGACATCCAGTTAGACCAGCATCATTTGTTGAAGATGCTATCTTTTTTCCATTGAATGGGTTTGGCATCGTTGTCAAAAATCGGGTGTCCACAGCTGTAGCCTATGACAATTCAGTATCCAAGTGGCTTCCATTGTAATAGGAATAGGGACTGTCTCTGACATGAACTGATTGGCCTGCTCTTTTAATTACCTCTTCCTGAGGGGGAAGAAGCATTACCAGGCCACAGAAGAAGACAATGCGGCCACTCCTGATGAGACCTAATTGACTAGGATCAGAAGGAAGGAAAAGAAGACCTCCCCTATCAGTGGACTTGGGGAGGGGCATGCATGCAGAAGGTGGAGGAAGGGAGGGATTGGGATGGGAGAAGGGAGGGAACCACAGGGGGGATACAAAGTGAATAAAGTGTAATTAATAAAGAATTAAAATAAAAAATTACGGAACCTTTATTCATTTCAAAACAAGTGCAAGGAACTTAGTATTCTGAACACTGCACAGTTGCTACAGTTCTACACAACACCATCAAAACGCCTGGGAAAATGATGTGATTGATGTTGCTGGGAAGTATAGATTGAAATAAACATTGTAAAAGTACTTTTTAGAAAAAAAAAATGGGTGCCCATAAGTGTGTGGATTTATTTCAGGGTCTTCTATTAGATTCCATTGATCCACCAGTCTGTTTCTATGCCAGTACCATGCAGTTTTTATTACTGTTGCTCTATAGTACAGCTTGAGAAGAAGGATGATCTTTTATTGTACAGGATTGTTTTAACATTCTGGGTTTCTTATTATTCCATATGAAGTTGAGAATTTTTCTTTCCAGGTCTGTAAAGAATTGTGTTGGTAATGTGATGGGAATTGCATTGAATCTGTAGATTGCTTTTGGTAAGATGGCCATTTTTACTATGTTAATCCTGCCAAGCCATGAGCATGGGAGATCTTTCCATCTTCTCATATCTTCTTCTAATTCTTTCTTCAGAGACTTGAAATTTTTTTCAAACAAGTCTTTGACTTGCTTGGTTAGGGTCACACCAAGGTACTTTATGTCTTTTGTGACTTTTGTGAAGGGTGTTGTTTTCCTAATTTCTTTCTCAGCCCTTTTGTCTTTTGTATACAAAAATTAGAAGGACTACTAATTTTTTGAGTTAATTTTGTATCCAGCCACTTTGCTGAAGGTGTTTATCAGCTGTAGGTGTTCCCTGGCAGAATTTTTGGGGTCACTCAGGTATACTATCATATCATCTGCAAATAGTGATACTTTTATTTCTTCCTTTCCAATTTTTATCCCCTTGATCGCCTTTAGGAACTTTTTTTTTAAACTTTGGTTCTTGCATTTCTATAAGTCACGCTTGGTTCCTCCTCTCTCCTGCTCCTCCCCTTGATGGTTCTCTCCTTCCCTTTGTTTTCCTCCTCTTCCTTCTCCCCCCTTTCCTTATGCTCCTCCTCCCTCTACTCCTCCTTCTCTACCTCCTTTTTGTCCTCCTCCTCTTTTTTTTCTTTGTAAATCTCTAAAGATTTCCTGGTCTGGGGAGATGACTCATTAATAAAGTGCTTGCATGCCCTGAATTTAGATTCCCAGCACTCACATAAAATCTAGATACAGTGGTATGACTTTTAACCCCAGCACTGACAGGGGTGGGGGTAGGGCAAAAGGAAGGATAGGAGTAGGGGCTGAGGCAGAGGCAGAGACAAAGTCATTCCTACCAGACCAGCCATAATAGGCAAAAGGGTGAACTGCGGTTTCATTGAGAAACTCTCACTCAAAATATCTACATGAGTAAGGTGGAAAAGTGATTCTGGACATTGCTATGTCCTCTGCACGAAAGCACACAATGGCTGTACTAACTTTAAATACTGATTGCCTCTTTACTTGTGTATTTAATTTCTGACTTAGCTGGAGGAATTCAGTAAATTCCCTATCTCCTGCAACGTGCAGTTTTGGGTGTTACTCTGCCTAGTAGCTATTTGCTATTTGGGATGGTCCTCATCTGACTTTCTTGAGCTGTCTCTTTTTCTTTTTTCTCAATTAAGCTTCCCTGCTCCATTGAGGATTATGCCTGGCAGTTAGACTCAGTTAAGGATTGATCATCTGTCCTTTGCCACAATACCCTAGGGTATACTCTGCCTAGTAGCCTGATCCAGGGAGAAGTTTCTAAAGCAGGTCTCTGAGCTTGTTTTGACCCTAGCAGGACTCTTGCCAGCCATCCTGATTTTTTTAGCCCTCTGGAATCCATCTGGTCCAGTGGTTGTTTATCTTGTTTCTCTCAGTTTTCAGATACTTCACACGGTTTAGTCTTTTACTGTGTCAGTTTCACTGGGGTACTCCTTGTGGGGTGAGCCAGTGGGCCGAGAGTTGATTACTTTTACTTAAGTATTTGATAGCTTCAAGAGGAAAATGTACATATAAAAACTTTTAAATTGTTTCTTATATGTACTGATGGTTTTTACCATATCTGGTATTCTTGAATTCTTCTTAAAAAGTCCAAGTTTCAGTCTAGAATCATTTTCTTCCTGCCTGAACACTTTACACTCTTAGTTTTCTCGCTCCTCAGGCGAGCATCTGTAACGGGTTCCATTTGGCCTTTCTTCAAAGACATGCTCTCTCTTTCCTCCCTCCTTTTCCCCCCTCACCTTTGCCCAGACAGCCTAGGATATATCAGCTCTAAGGTGCTGTAAGCAATGTGTGCTTGGCTGCTGTCAGGCTGCAGCTTTCTGAAAATATGAATTGGAGCCTGATGATTAATTCCTCAGTATCTGTACTGAGGCTTTGTCCACTGGTCTCATCATTGGCCAAAAGAGTGGCGCTGAAGTCTCTAAATGCAAATGTGTCTGCTGCCTTTTCAAATCTTTCTGGTTTTGCTTTGAGGATTTTGGTGCTCTGAGTCTTAGACACATACTTACTTAAAAATGTACTGCCTTCTTCGTGTATTGATCTTTTAACCTCTCACAAAACACTAACTTCAAAATTTTATGTTACTTACAAACTTGACAACAAAGCAGACTATTATTAAACTACATCATGCAAGTCTCACCACTTTCCCCCCAGATCTGGGTAAGGACGCCTTCTGGACAGAGCCAAACACCTACCTGAGAGGATGGACAGAGCAGTCGACTTTCCTGCCCCATTCTGCCCTAGGAGAATAGTGATCTGTCCCTGATATAAGTTCAAAGACAAGTCCTCGAGGGCTATCTTGATGGAGTTATTCTCTCGGAACACCTGTCGGAGGGAAGCCCGCAAATGTCAACTCTGTAGCCTTCACAATCAGTTTGGAAGAACGGGTACTCACAGCAGCTCTTCAGAGATGAAATAAGACCACACAGTAATCTTATAGCGAAATAGAGTGCAATACAGAGACACGGCAAAGAGGGGGAAAACCTATTTGAAGCTACAAAGTGAGTTTTATACTTTCACAGTAGGCGTGCAGTCTTTCCCTGAACAATCTCACCCGTTCCTCCTTTGTTTCAGTTACCACCCTGAAGCTGGCAGTGCCACATTTTTCTTCAGTCAGTCTTTATTTGGGGAACACAGGAAATTGCTCAGCGGACAAAAGCGCTGTGCAAGGATAAGGATTTGAGTTCTAATCCCCAGAATCCACAGAAATTCTAGACATAATCCATAATCCCAGTGCTCCAACAGGGAATACTGGAGGCACAAACGGGAATTTTTAGAAGCTGGTGGGCCATCTTGTCTGGCATGTATAGTCAAAAATAACAGAGACCCTGTCTCAAAGAAGGTGGGAGCTGACACCCACGGTTGTCTTTTGGCTTTGACATGTGAGTTGTGACTGTATTCACGTGAGTAGGCATGCACACACATGTCATAAATATGGAAACACATGTGTGCTCATGTGCACATGTGTGTGTGCATGTACACACAGAGAGAAGGAGAGGAGAGAGACAGACACAATACACACACACAGACCTTGAAGAACAGCCAACTGGAACCACCATGGATGCTCACCTGAAATACCTTTCATGTAGATGATCAGTGTGTCTGTCCAGGGCGCAAAAAGCTAGAAAGAGCATCACTTTCAGTCTAGCAACAAGTAGAGGCTAAATAAGTTCCCTGACCATAATTTCTCTTGAAATTCATCCACAGGGCGAAACGGCCTGAAGACTGAGGGGTGACAGAGACCCTCAGGAAAGATGGTGCAAATGTGTAGTAAATGTGATTGACATCCAAACTTTTAAGGAGACTTTAGTTATTTTTTTAAAACAATTGAGTCATAAAGCATTTAAGAAATATAGAACATAACCGTATAACCTGGGATTCAATCCCTGACATGGAGATTTAAAGCAGGCATTCCTCCCGATACATCTTTTTGATGATAAATTAAGGTAGCACTCTGTGTGACCGAAACCAGAATCCTGTTTCAAGTTTCACCAAATGGCAGGAGGGGTCTCTTTCCAACCATTCTCCCTAGACATAGGTTCCAGGCTTAAAAAAAAAAAGTGTTTTGAGAACTGTGTCCAGACTAGAGCTCTTGATTTCCCAAAGCTTTGGTTAAAAAGTCGTGGATCAAACCAAACAAACCAACCCCTGGGTTGTCCTGTGGCCTCACGGACATTCATGAGTTGGTCCATCAGTACCCCCCTTTTCTCCTAGCTGATTATAAGGTGTCTCCAGTATCAATTCCGAAATGTAGGTGGTCATGTAGAGCCAAGCTGGGAGACAGAGCTGACCGTCACCTGCCTCCACTTCACGCCACTGGTACAAGATGTCCCGAAGAAACGCGCCTAATCTGGACTGAGGTGGATTTTTTCAACAGAGCTGACTGTTGGGCAGGGCAGCCGGTGTCCACAGTGGCCAGGTTTGTTTCTAGAGAGGCTTCCTTGAACAATCTGATATATTTCTTCTCTGCATTCCATCTTTAAATTGCTATATCACTATCAGTTTTTCACTCACACTAGAATGAAAATTCCTTGTGAGTGTGGACTTTTTTTTCTGAGTGTGTGTGTGTTTGTTTGTTTTATTTTTACTGCTGATTCCCTAGGAACAAGAATGAACTAATGAAAAAAAGAATGGATAAATGAACAGGATAGAAGACCCTTAGTTCTTCTGAACATTGTCATGATCCTGGATAAGCAAGTGATGGAGAAGTATGGAGAATGGGGAAGGGCTCTATGTATGCATTAGGGGAAATTTTTTAGAGGCAAAGGTGGGAAAAACAAACAAACAAAACCAAAACAAACAAAAGAAAGAAAGAAAGAAAGAAAGAAAGAAAGAAAGAAAGAAAGAAAGAAAGAAAGAAAAAAGAAAAAAGAAAAAAGAAAGAAAAAAAAGAAGGAAAAAAGAAAATGTGGGAGAATCGGGTAAGTGCAGCTGGAGAAATTCATAGCCCGTGTGTTCCTTGAGTAATCTGCTTCTAGCTTTAACCACGTTACAGGTTATATCCTCGGATATATCAGTCACCTTGGTCACCTCCATCCTCCCGCAATAATTACCCAGGCAAAAGAGATCACAAGCAGATGAATGGAAAACTTTAGCGAATGGAAATTAATGTTTACTCATTCAAGTCACAAAGCTCCATTAGATACTACACTTTCAAATGGCAGCACTTCCAGTTAGACCAGTCACATTGGTTGAAGGTGCTACCTTTTTTCCCACTGAATGGTTTTGGCTTCTTTGTCAAAAATCAGGTGCCCATAAGTGTGTGGGTTTATTTCTGGGTCTTTGATTTGATTTGATTGATCCACCAGTCTGTTTCTATGCCAGTACCATGCAGATATTTTTATTACTGTTGCTCTATAGTACAGCTTGAGTTCAGGGATGGAGATACATCCAGAAGAACTTTTATTGTACAGATTTTTTTTAAGCTATTCTGTTTTATTTATTTATTTATTTATTTATTTAGTTTTCCCATATGAAGTTGAGAATTGTTCTTTCAAGGTCTGTAAAGAATTGTGTTGATATTTTGATGGGAATTACATTGAATCTGTAGATTGCCTTTGGTAGGATGGCCATTTTTACTATGTTAATCCTACTAACCCATGAGCATGGGAGATATTTTCATCTTCTGCTTTCTTCTTCAAGTTCTTTCTTCAGGAACTTGAATTTTTTTTTTATACAAGTCTTTCACTAGCTTGGTTGGAGTTACTCCAAGATACATTATGGTGTTTTTTTTTTTTGTTTTGTTTGTGTGTGTGTGTGTGTGTGTGTGTGTGTGTGTGTGTGTGTATGGCTATTGTGAAGGGTATCGCTTCCCTATTTCTTTCTCAACCCATTTGTCTTTAGTATACAGGAGAGATACTGATTTTTTGAGTTAGTTTTGTATCCAGACACATTGCTGAAGGTGTTTATCAGCTGTAGGAGTTCCCTGGTAGAATTTTTGGGATCACTCATGTATACTATTATATCATCTGCAAATAGTGATACTTTGACTTCTTCCTTTCTGATTTGTATTACCTTGAGCTCCTTTAGTTGCCTTATTGTTCTAGCTTGGACTTCAAGATGTAAATAGATCCATATTTATCACTTTGCACAAAATTAAAGTCCAACTGGATCAAACATAAAACCAGACACACTAAATCTATTAGAAAAAAAAGTGGGAAAGAACTTTGATCTCATTGGCACAGGAGACAACTTCCTGAACAGAACGACAGCCCAGGCTCTGAGATTAACAATGAATAAATGGGACCTCATGAAACTGAAAAGCTTCTGTAAAGCAAGGGACACTGTCAACAGAAGAAAACGACGGCCTACAGACTGGGTAAAGATCTTCACCAAACCTACATCCAACACAGGGCTAATATCTAAAATATATAAAGAACTCAAAAAATTAAACACCAACAAACCAAAGAATCCAATTAAAAATGGGGTGCAGAGCTAAACAGAATTCTTAACAGAAGAATATCAAATGGTGGGGAAACACTTAAAGAAATGCTCAACATTCTTAGTCATCAGGGAAATGCAAATCAAAATGAATCAGAGTCCATCTTACACCTATCAGAATGGCTAAGATCAAAACTCAAGTGACAACACATGCTGAAGAGGATGTGGAGAAAGGGGAACGCTCTTTCATTGCTGGTGGGAGTGTAAACTTATACAACCACTTTGGAAATCAATCTGGCCCTTTCTCAGAAAATTGGGAATAGCACTACCTTAAGACTCTTACCACTCCTGGGCATATACCCAAAAGATTCTCCACTATACAACAAGGACATTTGCTCCACTATGTTCATAGCAGCTTTATTTGTAATAGCCACAATCTGGAAACAACCTAGATGTCCCTCAACCGACAAATAGATATAGAAATTGTGGTACATTTACACAATGGAATACTACTCAACTATTAAAAACAAAGACATCATAAAATTTGCAAGCAAATGGGTAGATCTGAAAAATATCATCCTGAGTGAGGTAACAGAAACACATTCATTGTACATACTCACTTAGAAGCAGGTATTAACCATGTAATATAGCATAAACATACTAAAATCTACAGACCTATCTAGGCTAAACAACAAGAAGGACCCTAGGGAGGATGCTTAATTCTTATTCAGAAGGCAAATAGGATAGAAACAGGAAGTAGTAGAAGTGAGAGAACAGGATAGGAGCCTACCATAGATGTCTTCTGAAGGACTCTACCTGGCAGGGGGTCTAACCAGATGCAGAGACTCACAGCCAAACTTTGGTCAGAGTGCAGGGAATCTTATGGAAGAAGAGGGGGAGAGAAGGACCCAGAGGGGAGAGGAGCTCCAGAAGGAGACCAACAAAAGCAAAAAAATCTGCATCCATGGAGGTCAGCAGAGACTGATACAACAGCCAAGGGCCATGTATGGAGAGAACGTAGGCCCTCTGCTTAGATGTAGACCATATGCAGCTCATGTGAGTTCCCTAGTCAGGGAAGCAGGGGCTGTCTCTGACATGAACTCAGTTCCTTGCTCTCTGATCACTTCCTCCTGGTGGGGCGACCTTGCCAGTCCACAGAGTAAGAGGATGCAGGCAGTCCTGATGAGACTTCATAGGCTAGGTTCAGATAGTAGGGGAGGAGAATTCCCCCCTTCAGTGGACTAGGGGAGGAGGAGGGGCAAAGAGGGAGAGGAAGAAGGACCGGGAAAAGATGAGGGAGGGGGCTACCATCAAGATATAAAGTGAATAAATTGTAAAAATAAATAAATAGATAGATAGATAGATAGATAAATAAATAAATAAATAAATAAATAAATAAATAAATAAATAAATGAATAAAATGGCAGCATGGATAGACTACATGGCCAGGTCATAGGGATCCGATTATCTTTGTAGAAGGATCTAGTATTTATTAAGTACTGTGCAGATATCATTTTTATCTTTCTTCAGAGAAGTGAATGCAATGGTATGACCTCTTATCAGCATATATAAATAAAAACTTTTGAATATTTGGGTATTTCTCATACTGAACGTTTACCGTGAACCCCTCTTTAGGAAGCAGGGGAGGAGGTTATGAAAGAATACCTTGTGCAGGTGTCTGATCTGGATGCTGGGCCTCAAATCAGTTGGTTCAGCTTCGAAATATTTGCTTTCAGTTGTCTCCTGAGGTTGGGTAATTTCAGAGTTTTCTGGAGGTGTTTCTCCAAACCAGTAAGAGTGCTAATAAGGGAATACGAAAGATGTAACTGGTGGCACGGAAAAAGAGCACACTAGAAAACACCTTAATCTGACAGGGTTTGTCCTGAGATGGCCTGCATACAATTCTCGAGATCAGATTTTGGAGCAAGCTACCTATAATTTGAATTCCAAAGGCTTAGAACATACTATTATACTAAGATCATAAACATTTTAGAGGGACACCATACCCGGACTTCCCTTGTCCTCCTCTAGGATCTGGCCTGCGGACTCTCCATGTCTTCTTCCAGTGTCTAGCCTGGTTAGTACCCGCTGCAAGCAGACTCTCATTTTTCCGTAACCCACCAGACCTATTGCAGAATCCACAGCAAGTGCCCAGTCCTAGTCTGGCCACCCACACCTGTGCAGCATGGAACCTCAAGACCCTCATAGGGCCCCACATTGCATACCACTGCCTAGCAGAAGCATGGTTTTTGCCAACTACAGATAATTTCTGCGATTATATGACATTTGGAATTCTGGGAACTTTTCAGAGAGTAGATAAATGCAAGAGCCACAATAGGCTGTGGGGGTGGCTGTTGGTCATTTAGGGAGGTTGGCTGCATTTTGTTAGTAGCCGTGGTCAAAGAAGAAACAAAAGAAAAGAAATTAGATTTGGGGATTTTCCTAATTCCTTTCCCCACTCTACCTTGTTTCTCTTCTATCTAATGTTACAAGGTCAAACCAGGGAGATAAAGGGTGGGGAAAAGAAGGACCCACAAAGTAGCAAAGTAGCCGGCTTCACCTATCTACCCCAACACTTTGGCTTGGAGCAGAAAACACAACCTATGTGCCAGGACCGTCCCCTCTGTCCACCTGACTTTATTCTACTCCAGACATTCCCAACCTTTAGTCTCAACCAACCTTCACGTCCTCCCTTCTTCCTCACTTGTTTTGTCCATAACAAATTCAGGACTAAAAGGAAAGTCTTGCAAGTATAGCGAGTCAGGCAGAAGACAGAAGAACATCAGGTCTCAAAGACAAAATAGAGGACCAGGACTAACTAAGCAAGGAACAAGTAATTTAAAAAATATATATGAAAGGAAAACACGAGGGGACTATGGGATACCACGAAGAGACCAAACCTTCAAATTACAGTAATAAATGAAAGAGAAGAATTTCATGTTAATGGCATAAACCGGATCCTTAACAGGATCATAGAGGAAAACTTTCCCAGACTAAGGAGGGACACCCATACAGACATACAAGAAGCACATAGAACATTAAATAGACAAGAAAGGAAATTTCCCATGGTACATCATAGTTAAAACACTAAGTATATAAAACAAAGAAAGAATATTAAAAGTTTCAAGAGAAAAATATTTCAGTCACAAAGAAAGGAATATCTACCAATATAACAGTTGATTTCTCAATGGAAACTTTGAAAGCCAGAATCCATTCCAAGTCCTAAAAGACTATGTCAGCCAACATAAAATAATACACAGAGCAAAACTACCCGCCATGTTTGAAGGAAAAAGAAAATATTTTTTAAATTAAAAAAAAATTTAAACCTAACAAACCAAAACTAAGGAAGATGCAGGAAGCAATATTTTGGGCTAAAGAGAAAAATGAGCATAGCAGAGAGACTGTGGAATGACATAGGATGCCATAATTATTAAAACATGAAGGACCTTTGAGAATAGAAACAAAACTAAAAATCAACAACACAATGACTAAAATTAACACTCACATTTCAGTAATAACTTTAAATATCAATGGCCTCAATTTTCCAATCAAAAACTCACAGACTCACTGAATGGATCAAGAACAAAATCCAGCTATCTGGTGCCTACAAGAAACATATCTTAGTCTTAAAGATAGTCTTAAAACTACTTTAGAGTTAATGGATGGGAAAAAGTAACCCAATGAAAGAGAACCAGAAAACAGGCAGGTATCACTATCTTAACATCTGAAAATATAGACTAAAATAGAACTAATCAGAAGAGATTTTTAAAAGGACACTTCATTCTAATAAAGGGAAAAGGTAATCAAGAAGACATTACTGTCTAACATATTTGCACTAAATTCAGTGTGCTAAATTTCATTTAAAAACTATTATTGAATTTAAAGACACATATTAACATCAATGAGTACTAGGCAACTTTAATATTTCACTTTCTCCAATATGCAGGTCATCTGGACAAAAACAAACAGAGAAACATCATGAATTAATTGACACTATACATCAAATGGACTTAACAGATTCTACCGTTATTTTATTTAAATACCAAAGAATTCACATTCTCCTCTGCAACACATGGAAACTTTAAAAAAAAAAAAAAGGACAATATCCTGCAACACAAAACAAATCTTTATAAATTCAAACATTGAAATTGCTTCTTGTATACTATCTGACCACAATCCAATAAAACTTAAAATTGACAGCAAAATCCTCTAGTAAATACACAAACTCATAGACCTTAGTCAACTCATTACTAAATGATAAATGGTCAAAAAAGAAAAAAAAAACAGAAATAAAAACTTCCTGTAATTAAATTAAAATGAAGATCAACAGAATGAGGAACAGCAAATGTTGGGATGATGCAAAAGGAAAAGGGAACCCTCATTCCCTGTTGGTGCAATTGCCAGCTGCTGTAGCCAGTATTGAAATCAGTGTGGAGAATTCTCAAAAAGCTAAAAAATAAGTCTTCAACATGATCCAGAGATTCCACTCCTTGGTATACACTCGACATTCTAATCTGAAAGGACTTGCTCAGCCATGTTCATTGCTGTTCTATTCACAATAGGTAAGAAATTAAAACAACCCAAATGACCTACAGCTGATTAATGGATAAGGAAAATGTGATGCATGCACACAATAGAATACTATCCAGCAGTAACTAAAAATAAAATCATGAACTTTGGAGGCAAACAGGTAGACTTTAGAAAAGATCATACTGAGTGAGGTAACCCAGACCCCAAAGTCCCATCTTATCTCTTACTGGGCTCCTAGTCCCAAATTTCAGATGTTAGGAAAGTAAAATGGAAATGTTGCCAGCATGGGGGGGGGGGGGCGGTGAGAAGCAAGAGAGAAGAAAATAATAGGGTACAAATGATCTGATCAGGGAAATGGTACGAAGGGGAAAGAGGTAATTACAGAAAAAGGTGGGAGGAGCATAAAGCTGAATAACATATACAGTGCTCTTACAGTGGAAAGGATGGGCACTTTATGGAAGGGGAGGGGAGTACATACAGAAGAAGGAGGGAGTTGGGTTAAATAATAATGAGGTTGTCTGAAAGATTCACAGATATCATGCTATTAATTATTTATCATAATCCTATAATGCTCATAAATGCATGCTTAAACATACACATATAGTTTTAGTAAACCTTTCTCCTACTGGTTCTTTTTCCAAGAGTGAAAGAACACCTATGAAAAACAAAAAACAAAAACAGCCCAATACCAGACATGAGACTTTTGAGTTGTTAGCCAGAACTTTCCAAGAGATTCCCAAAACACACAGCCTTTTGCTGTTACCCTTGGTTACTTCCCAGAGGCAGAAGGTAAATAACTATTGTTAAAGAAACCATGTGCTTCAGAAACAGGGCCAGAGTCCTCCGAGCTGGAACTGACCTGTCTGCCTCCTCTCTGATGACTAGCTTTCATGGTACCAGAAAGTACCATGCAAGCTTCCAAAGGACGGAGGCAACCAGCAGTTCTGCCCAGCCTATAAACCAAATCAATGATCAGCCTGACATGATAACTCTAAGAGTGTAATAGTGGCTTACATACCTTGGTGGTAACCAACAACTCTCTTAGACTTATGGCTGTCTCAAGAAGAAGGAAACCATGTCTGGTTCTGGGAACCTAGTTGACTACTCAATATTAGTAAAGTCATAGTTATTGGAGGAGAATCTACAGCCACTACTTTATTAAGCCAGCACAATTGCTAACAACAAACTATAAACATTCATTTTTAAACACACAAATAAGTGTAGTCTTTACCCTCATCGAAGAAACTTCCTTCTCTTTGCAACAAATGGAGACTATAACAAAAAAAGTACAACTAATCAAAAATGCAGAGCTGTGGTGGTAGAGCCCAGTCACAATGGATACATCTACAAAACACTCCTGCACCCAAGCCTCAGGCAGCATTGTGGAAGAGGGCCTAAAAAGATTCTAGGAGGATCAGAAAACTTTCTGTGAGATCATGTTTCCTAGTAATTTCAGAAGCTACCCTCATGGAGTCTTACCAACCTGACTGCCCACATGTGAGCTGAACAAGGTACATGCTCATGAGTCCTCAACCATACACAGAAACCATAGGCGACTGAGGCAAGCTGGGAGAGATCTGGCCTTCCCCAGGGAAAGCACACCAATTGGTTATCCAGTTTAAGTGCTCAGTCCTGAAAACTTACATATGGGTAGCATTACATGTACAGAACCGGCTATACTTAGGAATATATGTTTATATACATACACATACACATGTACACAGGCAATAACATGTAGTTTTAAATAAGACGTCATGGATTTGAAAGAGAACAGGAAGTGGTACATAGGAGAGTGTGGAAAAAGGAAAAGGGAGAGAGAAGAGTAATTCAAATTGTAATCTCAAAAATTCAAAAACCTTGTCCCCTCCAGAGTAAACACCTGAGAGGGATAGAGGGAAATGACTGCAAACGGACATCATAGAGGAAGTCCTCTATCACTATCAGATCTTCTCCGAGTGACATACAGGCCAAAAGTTGACTGTAAAAAGCTTGATAAACGAGGTCGCCGAGGACCCAGACATGGTCTCCAGAACTGCAGTGTTGCTAACTTCTTTAAGAATGGATAGTACTTCTAAAATACAGTCCTGCAAATGTTGTGGATTTATTGCTCCCAATTTATGCCATTTAAGAGCTGGTTAGTTTCCAGCTCTTACCCATGGATTATGTTTCCTCATGTATACTTTTATAGGTATCTGCGATAATAATTTAGGATCCCAGGATCTTAACTACATCATCTATGTATGCATGAAGGCTCAGATTGTATTAGGAAAACAGCAGTGAATTAGTATGGAAGGAACATAAGAACGGTCCTCTCATCTGCTCTACAAACTCATTAATAGATAGTATAAAACTGACTAGTGATTTTCTTTTGTTTTAGAACAAATTCACAAGGATCTATCTATAAATAACAGGCACCAAGACTCACCATCATGAAAAAGTTCCATGGCTTGGGCATACCATACTCTCCTGGAAAGACGGCTTCTATGTACCAGGCCACAAGGGCATATAGGAAAGCATCAATTAAAAGCATTTCAAGCACATTGGCAAATAAAAAGCTGTCCATATTCGTTGATGAGAATATGTTACTCCATTTCACTCCAGTTTCTAAGACAAAGGATGAGACATTCAATTAGGCACCAGAGGGACTAAAATGGTTCTTCATCTGCATCATAACTGAATCTAAGAGGATATATGAGTAAGTAATCGTGAAATTGCCTCTCACTGTACCCAAACAGAGAAACAACTGGAAATGAATGGGAAAGAAATGAACTACATAAAATTTGGGAAAACAGAACTTAATAAAAATAAGCAGAGCTGTGGATTAGGATGATGATTCCCCTCCTCACCTCTATGCATGCTAAAAATCTCCCTGGGATGCACAATTTTGGAAAAACATAATCACTGAAGTGTAAGGGATAAAGTCCTGCACCAGCAGAAACCGGAAGGGACCCCTCTGGATTCCCAGGAAATATTTGGACAGATTGTGGAGTCACTCATATACTAATATGTTGCTATAAAGTAGAAGGAAATTTTGGAAGACAGTTTAGCAATCAAAATTAAATTAAGAAGCTAATCAAGAAGGAGGACCCTGAGTAAGATGATCAATCCTCATTCAGAAAGGCAAACAAGATGGACATTGGAAGAGGAAGAAAACAGGGACCAGAATAGGAGCCTACCACAGAGGGACTCTGAAAGACTCTAGCCAGCAGGGTATCAGAGCAGAGGCTGAGACTCAGCCAAACTTTGGGCAGAGTACAGGGAATCTTATGAAAGAAGGGGGAGATAGAAAGACCTAGAGCGGACAGGAGCTCCACAGGAGAGAGAGAGAAAAAAAAATCTGGGCATAGAGATATTTTCTGAGACTGATACTCCAACTAAGGACCATTCATGGAGATAACCTAGAACCCATGCACAGATGTAGCCCATGGCAACTCAGTATCCAAGTGGGTTTCCTAATAAGGGGAACAGGGACTGTCTCTGGCATAAACTCAGTGGCCTGATTTTGATCACCTCCTCCTGAGGGGGGCGGTGCAGCCTTACCAGGTCATAGAGGAAGACAATGCAGCCAGTCCTAATGAGACCTGATAGACTAGGGTCAGAGGGAAGGGGAGGAGGACCTCCCCATCAGTGGACTGGGGGAGGGGCATGGGTGGAGAAGAGGGAAGGAATGTGGGATTGGGAGGAGATGAGGGAAGGGGCTATAGATGACATACAAAGTGAATAAGCTATAATTAATAAAAAAAATGCTTTTGAAAAATGGTAGGAACCAACAAATTAAATTAGGTTAATCAAAATTCACTACTTACTCTTTGTCTCTGCCTCGACTAGGAACTTAAATCCAAACGCCATCGCAATATTAAAGTTGAAGGACCAAATCAGCTTCTGCTTGAGTGTCATGATCCCATAGTTTTGCTGTATTGTAATATATGGGAAGTAGCTCAGGAAAAAAAAGCAGCTTCCCAAGCTCACAGCAAAGTTGACTGCAAATGTAAAGGGAGATATGGTCCAGTTAAGCAATCTTGGAAAACACAACATATGAATTGGATTTTAATGTATACACTGAGATAGGCATTATAGAAGATAAGAATGTCTATTTTGTTTAACCACTGTTTTCCTCAGAAAATGAGATATCTGGAATCCAGTGTGCACACAGATATTCCTGAAAGAAGGGCTGAAATAAAACATGAAGGAGCTTATTTTTCCAGAATTGTTCTTTCTAGATGCAATGATTATGAATGTCATAACAGTTATTAGAAATTTATAATTTTATTTATTATAACTCAACATAAGAAATTGTAAATATAAACAGAACTACTGGAATAATCAAAATATTCCTCCAGGCATTGTGAGATTTAGTCTGTTATGGTAATGTGTGAAAAGAAGAATCCCCTTGAACAAATCAAGACTCTACAATTTAGTACAACAACAGCAACAAAAACCCAACTAGATGGGTTTTAGAGTATTTAGGGGATCCAAATGTGATTTGATCTTCAGAGTTATCATTTTAAAATAGTCGAAATACTGCTGTATTCAGCAAAGAGTTATGAAGCATGCAAACAAGATGGTATACAAGAAATCAAGAAAAAAAAAAGGAAAGAAAGAAAGGAAAGAAAGAAAGAAAGAAAGAAAGAAAGAAAGAAAGAAAGAAAGAAAGAAAGAAAGAAAGAAAAACACAATAGAACTAAGAAAACACTTGCCCCTGAGGAAGGCCAGACTCTGGACTTACTAAATGAACACTGTAAACAATCTGTCTTAATATGCTCAATTCCTGAAACACAGAGCTGAAGGGAAGTAGGAAAAAGATATCTACTTTAAAAGATGATCAACAAAGTGATAGAAATTATGAAAATGAACTAAATAAATGCTCAGACTGTAAACTAAAGTACACAAATGAATTTAAATGTCTGGGTAGACAAAAAAAAAAAAAACAGCAGTTAAAAATGGTACAGTTGACATTATATAATCTTACGGAGCAGGCAAAATAAAAATAAAAACAAAAATAATAAAGACTTGGCAGAGCCTAAGAATCTGACAAAGTCACCTCCTTATGCAGACAGCAGTCACAGAAAAAGAAAGCAAGCGTTTGATTTGAAGAACCGTGGTTGAAAATCACTACATTAAAAAAAGTCAAAAACCCCATCTAAAAACGAAACAAAACAAAAAACCCAACCAGACATAAGGACAAAAAGAAAAAATGTTCAAGGTTTAAGGGCAGAGGATTGGCAGAAGAAAGCGCTGGGGCGTAACCGAATGGTAGTGTGCTTGTCTGGCATGCCCGGAGGCCTCGGTTACACTGGTAGCATTAGAAAACAAAACCAAAGGTACAGAGTAGCAAGGGAGAGAATTCTGTCAAGTACAAGACTGCAGCATACTTCCTTCTGTGAATCCAGAGGTGGGAAGTCATGGGAGTGACATTGTGAAACCAAAAACAAAAAATTTGTCAGCCAAGAAATCTGTATGAGGCAAAGCCATCCTTTAAGAATTCAAGAGAGACTTTCTGGTTCTGGGACCACAAATTAGGGGCTTGGTGTCCCCAACAGTTTTTTAATTTATTCTCTTATGTTATTTACTAATAAAAAGAATATTTTAAATTAGTAAATAACAACATTCATTACTGATAAGTAAAAAGCAGGGAAAAGACACCCTCTAGTTATGTGAGAAAAGAAGATATACCATTAATACTTGTTGGAGCTTAACAGTTTTTTTTTTTTTTAATATTATTGATGCTGAAGTCATTGCTCAAGATTATGGCATTAATTTTAACTCATATAAGAAAATAATCAGAGGCTATGTAGATGAGGAAATGAGGTAAGAATCAAAGTGGAAGATACAAGGAAGAAAAAGATGAGACATACGTAAGATAAATGGCTGAGTGGCAGATGCAAATCCCTCCTGACCAGTAATTACTTCAGTTGTTCATCTGGAGTAAAGGCAATGGTGTGAGCTAAATTCTGGAAAGGCAAAGGTAGCAGAACACGGTGGAAGTCCAAAGGTATGTATTAACTCTGAGTCCAGAAAAAAACAAAACAAAACATTCATGCTAACACTCAGAGAGAGTGAAATGGCTAAATTGTCAGACAAAAATGATAGACTTTAAGAAAGGAAGGACTGTGAATTTTTGTTTTGTTTTGGTTTTTTTTGTTTGTTTGTTTGTTTGTTTGTTTTTTGAGATAAGGTTTTGCTCTGTAGCCCTGGATGGCCTGGAACTCACTATGCAGACCAGGCTGTTCTCCAAATTTGGTACTTTTCCCACCTCAGCCTCCCAAGTGCTGGGATTATAGGTGTGTGCTAACACGCCTGCCCAACATGGCCAAATTTTCCTGAAGACAAAACACTTCATAGCCCTAATTTGGCACAATGCAGTGTTTATCTAAACACTGTCAAGGACATAGAAAAATGAAAATTTTCACCTGTCAGTGGGACTGTACCTCCACAAAACCCCCTGGCATGTGATTTCTCAAAGGGTGAGGAATAAAGCTTTATTTGTCTTTGTTAGAGACCATTCTAAGCCAAAGTTTGTAACTCAAAGAAAGAATGTATGTATGTATGAATGAATGAATGAATGCATGCATGCATGAATGAGTGAATATCTACATCCATTGCTTTTATTTTCTATTCTCCTCTTTCCATCATTTAAAAATCTTTCAAAACCCAGCTACTACCACTTGACCTGTAATATTGTGGTCTGTGGCCCTTTGATGTGTATGCTGTAATTTGGTAATTTTCGTTGCTCTCTTCATGTCCTTTTCCGGGGCTGGTTTTACATGTCATCCTGAATTTGTGGCTCACAGAGCAAACATTACTTCTAGGTGTGTCTGGGCGCCTCCAGCTGAGGCCAGCATTTGAGTCTGTGGACTTGCAAGGTAGGTTGTCCTACCTTATAGGGGTGGACATCATTCTACACTGAGAACCTGGAAGGAACAGAAACATGGAGGAAAAGAGAATTCCCTCTTTTTCCTCCTGACTGACACCACCGGCTCCTCCCATTATTTTATTATTATTATTATTATTATTATTATTATTATTATTATTATTATTGTTGTTGTTGTTTTTGTTTGTCTTTTCACTATGTAACCCTGGACTCACTTTGTAGACTAGGTTGTGCTTGAACTCACAGAGATCCACCTGCCTCTGCCTCCCCGAGTGCTGAGCTTAAAGGTGTGTGCACCATCATCCTGCCGGGCCCTCCAATCTTAGGCACTCTAGAACACTCACTGGAACTCGTCACGGGCTTCCCTGCCTCCCCTGGTCACAGATTTCAGATGGTGAGATGTCCAAACAAACCAATTCATCACAATACCCTTCTGTCTTCCACTGTTTCTGCTTCTTTGGAGAACTCTAGCATGATTTTTGTGCATGTGATTATCCACACTCTAAAGGTCAATGCTCTGTCGGGGTAGGTGCTACATTGTAAATACGCAACAGCCCAACAGCAGGCATTTAAGTGCAAGGAGCAATTCTGTTGTTTTCTTGTTTTTCTCATCAGATACTAGCAGACACTGCTCTCTCCAATTCAGAAACTATCTTCATCTCAAGAATCCCTGGCGAAAGGGCTAGACGGATACCATACAAGAGGCAATTCAGTGTTAGAAAGAGCACCCAAATACGAGCATACTATCACACAAGTGCTGTGCTTATCAATTTTCTTTTTTCTCTATTTTTTATTTACAATTTATTCATTATATATCCCGATTGAAGCCCCCTCCCTCAACTCCTCCCAGTCCTACCTTTCCTCCCTCTTCCCCCTATCTACTTCCCCTAGTCCACTGAAAGAGTTCTCCTCACCTGCCATCTGCCCATAGCTTATCAAGTCTCATCAGGACTGCCTGGGTCCTCTTCCTCTGTGGCCCAGTAAGGCCACCTTGCTAGGGGGAGGTGATCAAAGAGCAGGCAACCAAGTTCCTGCCAGTGACTGCCCCTGCTCCCCTTACTAGGCAACCCACATGGAGACTGAGCTGCCCATGGGCTACATCTGAGCAGGGGTCTAGGTATTCCCCATGCATGGTCCTTGGTTTGTCCATCAGTCTCTGCAGGACCCCCTGGGCTCAGATTTTTTAGCTTTGTTGGTCTCCTTGTGGGGCTCCTGTCCCCTTGGGGCTCCTGTCCCGTTTGTGTCCTTCCATCCCCCTCTTCTTCCATAAGACTTTCTGCACTCTGCCCAAGGTTTGGCTGTGAGTCTCAGCATCTGCTTCGATCGGGTGGAGCCTTTCAGAGGACCCTCTAGAGTAGACTCCCATCCTGTTCCCTCAGTAGGCAGCATGCCAGATTGATAATCTGAAGGTCCTGAGTGCTTATCAACTTTCATCTCTCACTTCATTCCATTCCTTCTTTTTGTAAAGACAAAAATCTCATGCAGTCCAGGCTAGCTTCAACGTACTACATTGGTCAGGACGTCGGTAAACTCCTGATCCTCCTGTTCCTGCGTCATCGCTAGCATGCTGTGCCAACACTACAGGTTCAGGTATGCGCCATCACTGTGCATTCACCCCACGTCAAGTAACTACCAGGGCCCGGGACGTCTCAGTGAGAGCGCCGAGGCTGTGGCTACGCTGACGGATAACTTTTGGAAGGAGCTTTCCGGCGCGGTGGCTGTTCTGTGCTGAGACTCCTTCCCGGGAGGGATCCGGTACTCACCTCTGTCAAACAATGTGCTAATCATGAAACTGAAGAATATCGAGGAGATGGCGTAAAATGACAAAAAGACGAAGACAAGGACGGGGTCATTGTACTGGAAGATTGGCACAGGTTCAATCTAGCAAAATAATTAGAAATCCAAATTTAGTCTTGTAAGATGCTTTATCAGGACAGGGCGTAAGAGAGCGAATATCCTATTCCTGGTCGACATTAGTGACACGTTCAGGGAGATGAAGAATTAATACTTTTGGGTCTCATAGAGCCCAGACTGGCCTTGAACTCTCTGTGTAGCAGATGATGGCCTGCCTCCCACCTTCTGGGATTCCAGGCATGCACCATTACTCTCTGTTTATGGAAGGGTGTATATACATACGTTAACCAAGTACCTTAAAGGCCCTTTCTCCTGCACCAAACAACTTGCGGAGGGTCCTCCCATCCTCCCACCTTGGCTTGAACCGAAGGCAGCGGCTAAGAGAATAAGCAGCCTCTGAGAATCTACACCAGATCCACAAAAGCTCAGCTTTCCTTTCCCAGCAACCAAGAGGCATTGGACTGATCCTGCACTCCTGCTTTCCCTCTTAAAGTTTAGCCACAACACACTGGGGTGGAAAAGACACTTGCCTGGACAAATAAAACCATGCAAATGATGATGATGTTGATGACATACAAACAGAAGAAGGTGAAGAAATAGGCGACCCAGAGCATCCAGTTGCTCAGCCCTATCATGAGTTGGTATTCCTGTGGGAGAATTACCACAAACTAAGTATCATGAAAACACGCACGCACGCACGCATGCACGCACGCACAACCACACAGTGCCTTAGAGTCCTCAAAATGTACTGACATGTCATCTGATTTCCTATTTGTGTCTCCAGTCTCCAAGTCACATGGGATAAGACCAAGGACCGGGATCTCATGTAATTTCATTAAAACTGTCCGGCTAGAAACTGAATCCTGAGTTTCTAGGAGCTCAGAGGTCATCCCTCCAATAATTTCCTGATGTTGTTGAGACGTGGAGAGCACGTCAGCAAAGCTACAGACCACTTTAAAGATATACTTATTCTATTTTTAGGAAAAGTTATAATAATACTTAAATTCAATTATAAAATTAAAAGTGCTAAGATTAAGATGGAAAGAGGAGGGAAGTGCCCACAGCTTTAGCAATAATCTTTATGAACAATGTATTTTTTTCAGAAGTGGTTGTTTATAGAAATATGAGGTATTCTGAATTTTAACAAAAGGATATGAAAATAATTTAGCAAAGAATATCATGTTAGTATAGATTAAGAAAAGTCAATTGAGAGGTCTTACCTTTTGGGGGCTACTTACAATATTTTTATTGAATTTTACTAAGATATCAATATTTAAATGTTAAGACTGTAGCTCCCCCACCATTTCTACCTGCTTAGTACATACAAGGTTCTCAATGAATGTTTCTTTTTTTTTAATTAATGGATGACTAGAAGGATCTATGAACATATGCATGCTATACAAAGCTCTTTAGAGTGGTTACAGGTTCATATTATTACCTGTAGAAAACAAAAACAAGAGGAAATGTGCCGTTAAATTTTCTAAAGGTTAATGCCGAAAACATATTTACTTGACAACATTTTTACTTATTTATTTTTGTGTCTGGGTGCATGTACATGTGTGTACTTATGGGCACGTGTGTGCCATGGTGCACGTGGAAGTCAGAGGACAATTCTTGGGAGTTGGTTCTCTCCTGTCACCTTGTGGAATATAGGGATAGAACTCAGGTCATCGGGCCTGTGTGTAAATGCCTCTACCTGTGAGCCATCTTGCAGAACCTTACTGAACAAACTTTAAAAAGCAACTAAGATGACAAAGTACATTAACAGAAGAAGTGCAAAACTTTTACATAGAAAATGCAAAACATGGTGGAAGGAGATGACGGAGAGCCTGAGCAAGTGCAAAGCTCTCCATTTCATGACCCCAAACACCTAATAGTGCTAATGTGGTAAGAACACAACACCTGTCAAGACCAGATAACAAAGAAAGAAAAATCGTCCAGAATTATAGCTAGTGGGATCAAATCAGTATTTTAAAAAAATCACCCGATAAATCACTAACCCTGGACTGGATGCATTTAGTGGTTTGAAAGGTAGTTGACATTTAAATTAAATCTGGGATATTCTGAAACTAACAGTCACACTAAAATTTTTGAATAATGATAAAATTATAGAAAGTAGCCACAAACGCAAAAGTGTTGAGTGGCTGCGAGTGAAACAGAACTATCAGTTTTGAACACGAAGAAGTAATTTAACCTTCCGCATAAACTCATGCTATACTTTCAAACTTTTCAGTGCAAATGCCGTCTACAAGAAAAACAGAGTTATACCTTCAGTCGGTTTTCCTTTTCCCACACGATGGACCGAATCAGGGTGAGATGATTCAGGGAGAAGGTACTTGCCACTATGAGAGGGATGAACATATTAGCGAACACGTAGAAGTAATCATGAAGATACGCAGGGTACGGAAACCTCTGGATGAAGAGGCTAGTGTCTCTGAAGAGCGCTGTGGCGGCAGCCCCGCCATGATACAGCATGATCGCCTTGTCTAAGGCGTGTTGCACAGCCAGGAATCCTTCATTGACGTACCCTAAATGAGAAAAGAGAGCCTGCTAAGGGAAACGACTAACAGCAGCTGGGCTGAACAGGGAAAAAAAAACCAGCAGTTGACATACATCCGTGTGTTGTGGATGAATACTCTGGCAATAACACTCTCTGACTAAGCGATACAGCCACCCTGGCCTGTATGAATTCACTGTGACGTTCACATGATGAAAGGGGAGATGTCGAGAAATGTCCTTCTGGGAAAGAACAAAGTTGGATTGAACCAGGCTCTTCTCTCGGTCTGAGATCCTGAGAAGTACGCCCAGTTCTTCCACACAAACATAGGATGAGTCCATCTGCTGCGAATAAAGGTGATGTAGCTCTTTCTTTCTCAAGTGTTAATGACTTCCTGTTTTCTCTTCCTGCTATAGACAAGAACTTAAAGTAGTTTGCTACACAGAATTGGTGAGAACAAGTATCTTGGCTTTGTTCCTGACGTCAGGAGGGGAGTGCACAATGTTGAGTTAGTAAGCTACACGTTTCCCGCAGGTGTGCTTTATGGGACGGAGAAAATTTACTTTTATTGGTGCTTTGGGTTACGGAGTTCGAGTTAGTTTTTTGTCGTTGTTGCTGTTTTTGTTCATTTGTTTTGTTTTATTTTTCTCTGTGTAGCCTTGGCTGTCCTGGACTTGCTTTGTAGACCAGGCTGGCCTCCAATTCACAGCAATCCCCCTGCCTCTGCCTCCCTGAGTGCTGGGATTAAAGGAATGCACCACCACACCCAGATTAGGGTTAGTTTTTTAAAACGTGCTTTCGTGTTGGAAAAATAAATATGATGGGAAGTTACAAAGGCAGTATAGGGGGTTCTTGTATGCCATGCATCTTCAATGGGAGAATGGATCATTCCACGCCATCCTGTACAAACAAATAATTTTGTGATGTTGGAACTTTATGAGAGGGAAGGGTTAGGTTTTTTTTAAAGTCCCCCAGGGCTCTTAGAAGGGCAATATGGAAAAACGGCTGTCTACCCTGCATCGTCGGCATCACACTTCCTTGGCCTCACATGCTCTATTGCCACAGCACATTACTCAAAGTTAAGAACTTGACACCAGTGCCATACTATTTAAAATACATGATAATACTCAATTTATAATGCATTTACGATACTCAATTGCATTTCACCAGTGTTGCATTTCTTCAATGTTTCTTTTCTGTTCCATTTCCTGTGCATTTTCTTATTAAGCTGACAGAGTCTCCTCTGATCCATGGAAACTATTCAAGCTTTTTTTCCCCCTTTTTGTGAATCAACCAAGGAGCATGCATGCAGAGGACCTAGACACCTTGCTCAGATGTAGTCCATGGGCAGCTCAGTCTCCATGTGGGTTGCCTAGTAAGGGGAGCAGGGGCAGTCACTGGCAGGAACTTGGTTGCCTGCTCTTTGATCACCTCCCCCTGGTGTGGTGGCTTTACTAGGCCACAGAGATTGAGGATCAAGGCAGTCCTGATGAGACCTGATTGGCTAGGGTCAGATAGTAAGTGAGGAAGACTTCCCCTACCAGTGGACTGGGGGGGGACATAAGGAGGAAAGAAAGAGGGAAGGTGGGACTGGAAGGAGATGAGGGAGGGGGCTACAGCTGGGATACAAAGTGAATAAATTTTAATATTTTAATTATTAATAATAACAAAGAAAATCTTTAAAAAATATATACTTTTTTTTTTTAAAGAAGAGTAGTATTTGGTTTTACCATGTGTTCCTGGGTTATCTTATCTCAGGATATTGGTAACCCAAGAGGTATTGGGTAGGCGTTCCATCTTGTGGAGAGGACTGTAAGTTAAATCATATATTGGTTGGTTGTTTCCACAAGTTTAGTGCCACCATTGCACTAGTATGTCTTGCAGGCAGGACACTGTCATGGACCAAAAGGTTTGTGGCTGGTTTGGAGTTTATGCTTCTCCTTTGGTAGTCTGCAACGTACCTTCCTATACCGAGGGTGCTAGCACATAGGGGACAAGACTCTAGATCCATCCCTTGTTCCTCTTTTGTTTCTCTTTCCCCACTTGATCCTTCTGTTCCACTCCCACGCTCATCCATCCACAACTATCGATCCTAGGGAGACCTAGCTCTGCCTCACTAGTTCCTCTGTAACTAACATCTGTGGTTCTCTGGGTCATAGCTTCTTTATTATTGACTTAACAGCCAATATCCATATATAAGCAAACACCAACCATACTTATCTTTCTGGGTCTGGGTAATGTCCTGCAGAATGAATTTTTTCTCATTCTATACACTTCTCTGTGAATTTTATGATTTCATTTTTTTAGGATTGGAGAAATACTCCATTGAATTTACATGTATATGTACCCCATTTTATCCATTCACATATTCGGAAATATCTGGGTTGTTTCCAGTTTCTGACTATGAATAGAGAAGCAATGAGCATCAGTGAATATGGCTGAGCAGGTGTCTTTGTGGTAGGATGAAGCCTCCTTTGGGTATATGCCCAGGGTTGGGAGAGCTGGATCTTGAGGTAGATCAGTTCCTATCTCCTTGAGGAACAACCACTCTGATGTTCATAGTGGCTGTACCAGTTTGCATTCCCACCAGCACTGGATGAGTGTTTTTCTTGCTCCAGGTCCTCACCAGCATGAGCTGTTATTTGTTTTATTAATCTTGGCCATTCTGATGAGTATAAAATAAATCTCAAAGTAGATTTGATTTGCATTTACCTGATGGCTATGGATATTGAATATTTTAAATGTGTTTCCCAGCCATTGGAGTTTCCTCTACTGAGAATTCTCTGTTTAGATGTGTGCCTCATTTTAAAATTAGGTTATTTGTTTTCTTGATATCTAGTTTCTTGAATCTATTTTGGATAACAGCTATTAGATGTGTGGTTGAAAATATTTTCCCATTCTGTAGGCTGCCACTTTGTCAAATTAGTGATGGTGTCCTTTGCTGTGTGGAAGGTTTTCAGTGTCATGAGGTCCCATTTATTAATTGCTGAGTTAGTGCCTGTGTTAACTATATTCTGTTCAGAGTCTTCTCCTGTGCCACTGCATTCAAGGCTATTGGCCACCTTCTCTTCCATCAGGTTCAGTATGTCTGGTTTTATGGGGAGGTTTTTGATTTACCTGGAGATGAGTTTTGTGCAGGTTGATAAGTATGGATCTATCTGGAATCTTCTACATGCAGTGGTCCTATTTGTCCAGCACCATTTGTTGAAGATGCTGCCTTTTTTTTTTTTTCAGTGTGTAATTCTGGCTTTTTTTTTTAATCAAAAATCAGGGATTCATAGGTATGCATACTTTATGCCCAAGTCTTCAATTCAATTGAGTTGATCAACATGTCTTTTTTTTCTGCCAATACCATACTATAGCTACGGAGTATAACTTGAAATCAGGGATGGTGACAGTTCTAGAAGCTTTTTCACTATCTGAGATTGTTTCATCTATCCTGGGTTTCTGTGTTTCATATGAAGCTGAAAATTGTCCTTTCAAAATTTGTGAACAATTTGTGAAGAATTCCGATGGGGATTGAATTTAATCTGTAGATTACTTTTGGTAAAATGGCCATTTTTACCATATTAATCCTACCGATACATAAGAATTGGAGATCTTCCATCTTCTGATATCTTCTTCATTTTTTTTTCTTACAGTTTTATCATACAAGTCTTTCACTTGCTTCATTAGAGGAACCTCAATATATTTTATATTGCTTGAGGTTATTGTGAAAGGTGTTGTTTTCATTTCTTTCTGAGAACATTGTTGTTTGTATATAGAAAGGCTAATGATTTTTTTAAGTTAATGTTGTATCTAGTTACATTGCTGAAATCATTTATCAGTTGCAGTAGTTTCTCAGTAGAATTTTTGGGGTCACTTATGTATACTCTCCTATCATCTGGAAATTAAGATATTTTTACTTCTTCCTTTCTAATTTTTCCCTTTTGGTTTGTTCTAGCTTATTGCTCTAGCTAAGACTTCACGTACTGTATTGAATAAGTCTGGAGAGAGTAGACGACCTTGTCTTGTTCCTTAATTTAGTGGAATTGCTTTGAGTTTCTCTCCATTTAAATTGATGTTGGCTAGGGCGTGCAGTAAACTACATTTATTGTGTTGAGTTCTGTCCTCTGTATCCCTAATATCTCTAAGACTTTTATCATGAGAGTGTTGGATTTTTGTCAAAGGCCTCTTCTGCATCCAATGAAATGATCACGTGGTTTTTGTCTTCCAGTCTGTTTCTATGGTTTATATTACATTTTTAATTTATGGATGTTGAACTGTCCCTGAACCTCTGGGATGAATCTTACTTTCATCATGGTAGATGATTTTTTAAATGTGGGGTTTTTTTTAAATTAAGTTTACAAGTATTTTAGTGAGAATTTTTGCATCTACGTTTATAAGGGAATCTGGTCTTTAATTCTTTTTTTTTGTTGGATCTTTATGTAATTTGTGTATCAGGATGACTATGATCTCATAAAATAAACTGGGCAATGTTCCTTCTATTTCTGTTTTGTAGAACAATTTGAGGAGTATTGACGTTCACTCTTCTTTGAAAGTCTGGTAGAAGTCTATATTAATACCATCAGATCCTGGGCTTTTATTTAGTTGGGAGTCTTTTAATGACTCCTGCTATTTCACTAGGGGGTTATAGGTTTGTTTAAATCATTTGTCTAATATTGATTCAACTTCTGTAAATGATACCTATGGAGGGAATTCTCTCTTTGTTTTGTTTTGTTTTGTTTTAGATTTTCCAATTTGGGGTAATACGGATTTTTAAAGTATGGCCTTATGATTCTATGGATTTCCTGAGTGTCTGTTGTTTTCTCCCCTTTTTGTTTGTGATTTTGTTAATTTGGAGATTCTCTCTCCCTCTTTTAGTTAGTTTCTATAAGTTGTCTATCTTGTTTATTTTCTCAAAGAACCAATTCTTTGTTTCAGTGATTCTTTGTATTGTTCTTTTGTTTATATTTTATTTATTTTGGTCCTGAGTTTGATTATTTCTTGACAACTACTTCTTTTTGGTGTGATTTCTTCTTTTTGTTCTAGAGCTTTCTAGTGTGCTGTTAAGTTGCTAGTATGAGATCTTTCCTGCTTTTTTAATGTAGGCACTTATTTCTATAACCTTGCCTCTTAGAACTACTTTCATTGTGTCTCATAAATTTTGATATGCTGTGTATTTATTTTCATTCAATTCTAGGAAGTCTGTTGAGGGTTGGTCTGATGCTTGTATTTTGATGTTAATTACTGGCCCTCAAGCGCTGGTTACTGCCCGGATACACCTATCCTTGTTATGTAAACCTGCCTAAGACATTATTCCTGATTGGTTGATTAAAAGGCCTAAAACCTGGGCAGGGTAGAATGGGGTAGGCATGGCTAAGGTTCCTATGCTTTGGGAACAGGAGAATCATGGGAAACAGATGGTTAGGAAGAGAGAAGGAAGGAGGACATCATGATGGATTAGCATGGAGAAGGAACCGTGTGGGCTGGGAGAAAGAATTCCAAGGATGGCGTAAAAAGAAAGAGCAAGATGAAAAATACGAGCAAGTATTTATAAGATTATGAATGGAAGGTAGCCCAGATAAGAATGGTTAAGGCAGATGGCATTGGATGGGGGCTGGGAAATGGATGGGGAAGTTATTGAAATAGCATACGTAGAAATATCTGCCCAGCCAAAGGTAAATAAGGCAATTATAAAATCAAGCAGGTGTCCGTACCTTATTAATTGTGATAGTGGGTTAAATAATACCACCTTGATAATCACAGGGCAAATAATTATAAATCATAATATCCCAACACCCATTTTATTTACAATAGAAGTCTTCAATTTTTTTTTTTATTTTTGTCTTGACCTATTTTTTTTTTTTTTCATTAGAGTTGTTCATTTTTTGTGAGTTTGTTAGCTTTCTGTTGTTACTGATATCCAGCTTTAATCCTTGGTGGTCTGATAGGATGCAGAGAGTTATTTCAGTTTTCTTGATCTGTAGCGACTTGCTCTGTATCTGAGTATATGATCAGTTCTGGAGAAAGTTTCACAGGTACAAGGGAGAAGTTATGTTCGCTTGTGTTTGGGTGAAATGGTCGGTAAATATCTGTTAGGTCCACTTGGTTTACAAGGTCTGTTAGTTCTAGCATTTCTCTGTTCAGTTTTTGTCTGGATGACCTGTCTATTTGTGAGAGTAGGACACTGAAGTCCCCCACTATCAGTGTGTGATGGTCAATGCATGATTTAAGCTGCAGTGGTGGTTCTTTTACAGACTTGGATGCCCTTGTGCTTGAGACACAGATTTGTTTTCTTTGATGAGTGTGCAGTGTCCTTCCCTATCTCTTCTGATTAGTTTTGATTTGAAGTTTATTTTGTTAAATGTCAAAATGGCTTCATCAGCTTGGTTCTATCTACCTACCTATCTATCTAAATCAACAATAATCAAAGAAAAAGAAGATATCAATTTGAGAGTGGGGAAATGGGAGGGGTTGGAGGGAGCTTACCTGGAAGGCATGCTAGGGAGAAAAGGGAAGGGGAAAATGATGTGCTTCTATTTTAATTTAAAATGTATTAAAATAAATAAATTAATGAAATAAATATCTTTCACCACAGGACTGAAGAAATATGAATCTGTCCATCTTTCAATACAACAAGAGAATAAGATAAATAGGTTAAAGAACTGCTCACCAGGACTGCCTCCGTCGGCATCATATTGGTTTCTGGGTCCCACAAGACGCACAGGTGGAAAGAGAAAATTTGTAAACCAGCTGTGCCCTTGAAAATATGCCCGAGATTTCATGTTCTTCTTAGTATTACTAAAACGCAGGTAGTATTTTACCTAGGAGGAGCAATAAAAAAAAACAAATTATATATAAAGCAAAAAAGAAAAGAAAAAAAGAAAAACATGGCAAGAATCAGAAACAAAATGATTTTAAAAGTGTATCAGGAATATGACATTCTGAGGGCACATTGATGAGGATCTGACTATGGACTTCAGAAAGTGACAGCAAGCCTGTCCTGTGGCATGTCACAGGTGAAATATTTTGAAACGTCAACAACAGCTGGATTCTTGCTGTGGGTTTATAGTAAGCAAACACAGCTGGAATCTGTGAATATCCTGAATGTATTTTCCCTAGACAGACATCTGACATGCATACTGAAATGAGATATTCCAAAAGGAATTGTTAATTTATATTCCCTTTGTGTTAGCTAACTGTTCCTAAAGAAAAATCTCTTCCTTCCTTGAAAGTGATTGAGGAGGACAGAGAAGGAATGTATTAGGATACAAATGTGAAAAGTTGCATAATTGCTGAACGAAAAGATCACTCATTTTAGAAAACTGAGTAAACTTTAAGGTACATTGTGCTAGGCTTTAAAACTTCCTGAAATAAACAAACAAATAATTGCAAGAGTCAGTCAAGAGAAATTGGTTAGATTAGCAGGGACAGGCAGGTGTAAGCCATTAGCCATATATTAAAGGTTTTAGTACAAGCCTTAGTCCACATTCAGGGGCATCTGACATTTCTCGGGGAGCCCATGTCCTGGTTGAAGATGTATTTACTCATGTTAAGTTCAAATTTGGCGTGTTTAGAACATCTATGGAAAGGTGGTTAGGAGGCCAGATAGAGGCCAAGCATACTCAGAAAGGGCAAGAGTAAGTCAGCTGGGCAGGACAAAGGAGATTATGAAGTGAAGGCAGAGGAGGAGATGTTTGCCACTGTACTGGATACATTTCTATACATGAATGAGCCTACATCAACTTGCAAGGAGCCAGCCACTTGGGCTGACATGTGGAAGCACCGAGTCACCAAACAGAATACAGAGAAACCAACGACCCTATTTATTGGCCCTCTTTACCTCCCGACGATAGCTGCTTGTACCTTAAACACAAAATTTTGACTCTCTGTGTAGCTACATTCTATACTTTGATAATTTCCCCTCAATACCAGGGAAATTCAATTCGAAGCATTATTTTTGTCTCTCCCGGGCTGCGCTTATCAGAACCATCCCAGCGTTCGTAGATGTCCTGCTTCTCGTTCACTGGGGCTTGGGGAATGCGCCTGTTCTCAACTAGGATTTAGTCCCGTGAGGAACGGGATCTGCCTTGACCATGTGTCTTGAAACTCCATTTGAATAGTCACTTATCACTGTGCGTCCACCTGGGGCCTTCACCCAGTGGAAAAGGGGCATTCTGGGAGTTTGTGAAGGTGTGCAGGTGCCTATGAGCTGCCCCACGTGGGTGTCGTGAACCTAGCTCAGGTCCTCTGGAAGAGCAACGCAACGTTCTTCTCCACTGAATCACCCTCCAGGCCCCAGGCATGAGGCTTCTACGGAGAACTTTCTCACCTTCTTTGGCAGCGGATCGTTGCTGTTTGTGAAGTTATGGTCAATGACAATAGCAGCCAGGAACTTTTTAGAGTTGGCAGTTGACCTAATGTACTCTTCAAAATCACTTTCTGAAGAAAACCCTGTAACTGCAGAGAGGGCGAAAGTGTGTGAGGGCAGAGTGTATGACGATGCTTCCTACCCACAGGGTGGGAGCTGTGAACACTGGCTGAGGGATGACGTGCCCCAGTGTTCTCCGATTTCCAGTTGGAGAAGAAATTGGGGGCCAGTCATTGGTATGGCCATTCCCTCAATCTCTGCGCCATCTTTATCCCTGCACATCTTGTAGGCAGGGGAAATTTGGGGTCTAAGGTTTTATGGGTGGCTTGGTGTCCCCTTCTCCCCACTGGAAGTCATGCCTGGCTACAGGAGGTGGCCACTCCTAGGAATCTCGGCTAGAGTCACCCCCATTATCCTCCCAAGAACCTACCCCATCACAGGTCTCCAGCTTGTCCCAGAGATGGGCCCCCATAGGTTTCCCACCTTTCTCCCAGCTCTCTCACCTCCCATCCCTGGTCCCCACCCCACCCCCCTTTCTTCATCTGCTTCTGCTGTCTATTTCATTTTTTCTTCTGAGTGAGATTCAAGCACCCCCACCTGTTCTTTGGATCTGCGGATTGTAACGGGAGAGAGTTAATCCCTGACTCTGTTCATGATACTCGACATGCTTGCAGCCAGGAGCCTACCATAAGCGCCCTCCGAGCGGCTCCATCCAGCAGCAACAGCAGACCGAAACAGACACTGAGACCCACAGCCCAACATTGGGTGGAGCTTGGGGAGACTTGTGGAAGAATTGGGGAAAAGATGGAAGGATCCTGAGGGGACAAAAGCTCCGCAAGACCAACAGAGTCAACTAACCTAGGCTCATGGGTGCTCACAGAGACTGAAGCACCAACCAAAGGGCAAACATGGTGGACCTAGACCCCCTACACAGATGTAGCTGACAGACAGCTTGGTCTTCATGAGTGTCCCCTAGCAATTGGAGTGGGGGCTGTCTCTGACATGGACTTTTGGATCACTTTGCCCTAGCTGGGCTTCCTTGTCTAGCCTTAGCAGAAGAAGATGCGCTTAGTCCTGATGAGACTTGATGTGCTGGGGTGGGTTGGTTGGTGGTGAGGCTCCCCTTTTCTGAGGAGAGGGAGAGGGGAAAAGGGGGGACGGTGGGACCGGGAGGAGAGGAGGGATGGGGCTGTGACAGGGATGGAAAGGGAATAGATAAATTAATAGAAAAAAAAGAAATTAGGGGGAAATGTGTATGTCATGATTCTGTAATACTCAATATCTGAATGAAAAGTATAAAGAAGCTGGGGAAGGAAGCCACCTCACAATTTTAATGTTTGAGGTAAGTATATTTCAATAATTGAGATTTTTGAGTCAATGAATTTAACTTTGGAATTCAACCTCATTGACCTTTGAAAAGGTGTAATTTGTATTTTCCTAAGTAAAACAAACAAGTTATTTAATATACAGTGCATTTGTATACAGTACATTGTATACCCTAAAGATTTCCTTGGAGTCAAAAGCATGGTTGATGGAAACAGAATGGCAAAGACTCAACAGCTGCGGTGATGAAAATCAAGATCCACGGAGTTTTATAGATTCGACTGCAATGGCTTTATTGGTTTACTTCTTCCTCCAGCAGAACCCTGATTCCTAAAGATACGCAGGAAAAGCTCCACTGTCCTCACTGTTGACTGGGCCAGCATTCTCACCAGAGGGCTCTCTCATGCTAAAAGTGACTGCTCTGACTGGGGGAGGGGCATGGGAGGAGAAGAGGGAGGGAGGGCGGGATTGGGAGGGGATGAAGGAAGGGGCTACAGCTGAGAGACAAAGTGAATAAACTGTAATAAATTAAAAAATAAATTAAAGAAGCACCCTCTCCTCCACACCTGTCACCTGCGCTCCGAGGTGTCACTGTTTCTCCATCTCACCAGAACCATCACGATGCCAGTTCCTTCAGGCACTTTGCTCCGTTCATCTTTGTAAACAAATCCACATACAAGTCTAACAAATATAGGGAACCTACGTTGGGTTCATCCTTTGAAAGACCAGTATTTAAGTGACTGTTGCTTCATTGTCTGAGTCGAGCATTGCTCTTTGTTTGCATAAAAGTGGATCATGTGTTGGGAGCCATGCAGAAGGAACAAGCAAAACAGCTCTAGAACTCACGGAATGCAGCCCGCCAGTTAGCAGACCCATGACGGCGTCTCAGGGAGGCATAACCCCGAAGACCACGTGTCCTGAGGACCTTAACTGCTACGGGAGCATCGCTCTGCTTGTTGCCGCTGTGGCCATCACATCCCTCATACTACGAGAGTTGTGTGGAAAAACTCCCTCACTGGGCAGTGCCCCAGGCACTCACAATTATAATGCTTGATCTCTTTCAGGGATTACGGAAAGATTAACGATCAGATTGATGATCCAACCGGCACCCTTGGAAAGAACCTAGAGAGGTAGATTGTTGGCAGTGACCACTACCCTTAGAAAGAATTTGGAAAAATAGATAGCTTAACAAGGTTAGGTAAAGATGTTCTTGCTAATGACTCTGAGGTAGAAAATCTTAGGGAAAAATAGATTGTTTAGCAAGGTTAGGTAAAGGTGTTTTTGCTATCAGCTCTGATGCAGAAAATCGTGGGGAACAATTTGAAGTTAAGAAAAAGTACACTCTTAATCGTAAAGCTGGGGACTTTTTGAGGTTGGTGAGAAGCAAGGATAGCCCAGGGTGAGAGGGGCTGACGTGACAACTCTCAAGCTGGGTCGGTGACTGAGAGGACAATTAATTTCCTTATACCTTTTCTTGCCCTCAGCTTCCTGATATGATTTAATAAAAACTATTAACACGTAGATGCACACCTTAAAGATTTAAAGCAGGAATGGCTGATTATTTTTATATGAAATTTAAGACTTGTGATTCTGTAAGATTTTTATAAGATTACCTTTTATGGTAATTGATTCTTTTTTGTTTGTTTGGTTTTGTAATAGCAAATTGCAGGCTGACAGTAAAGAAAAAAAAAAAAAAAAAAAACAGGCCGAGAAATTCCCTTGCTTGCTCATACTCTGTTAATATATAACAAGCTGCTTAGTTACAAATGTATATGCATTCTTGGGAATAATTTTTCATATTTTTTTCACCCATAATACATAAAACATTTGATCACATGAGGACACTAGGATACATGCTTTTCTTACTAATTCTCACTGTAATAGTTGGTTTACTTAAAGAAAAATAGAATGTAACCACGTTGTGATTTTCGTACTACTTGAAAGATCTTGCTGGGCTCTATAAGATGTAGGAAAAAGAATGAAAGTGTGGTTTGGAACTCACTCTTCAGTCTGTTCCATCCACTAAGATGTGTGTATATGTATGTGTATGAGGCTGTTGGGATATTTTTTTCATCCACCAATGTATGTGTATATGAATGTATGTAAGGTTGGGTTGGAACTCATTCTCTGGAGCTTGTTCCACCCACCCAATGTTTGAGTGTGTATGCATGTATGTACATGTGTATGTATATGTATATGTGTATATATATGTGTGAACATGTGTATGCATGTATGTGTTACATGTATGTATGTATGTATGTATGTGTATGCATGTATATGTATGCATAAAGCAGAAGAAGCCTGAAAGAGAAGCTAAATGAAGAGAAGAAGCTTGTTGGAACCTACTTGCTGGAGTCTGACTTACTTCATCATCAAGTCTAAGTGCATGTGTGTGTGTGTGTGTCTGTGTGTGGTCTTTTTCTCTCCTTTCTTTTCTTTCTTGGACACTTTGCCACTACCAGGGGAAAGCCAATGCTAGAGCCAGTAGCCCTAGCTGACACTCACCATAATAACTGTAAGCACATGCCAGGTAGCTACCAGCACTGGCTGATGCCAGCAATTTAATTCTGGCCCCTCGGCTTGCCACTGTCACTGGAAGCAAGGGTTGGAAACGATCAGTTCCAGCCCTGGAAAGTTAGCCTCAGAAAAAGTTCTGCTGGGCCACCAGCCAGTCACCAGGTCTACGCACAGCTTCAGTTCACCCTGTGGTGTTGAAGCTGGTATTCAGTAATCATTCCTGTGCTGGTTGGGGCTCTAGGAAGGAAGGGAGGGTGAGGTTGCAGATTTAGGAGCTGGTCCTGACTCTGATGCTCCCGAGGCACAGGGTTTGGGCTGTGTGCTTACTTAAGAAGAAGTTACGAGGTACAGGGAAGGCCACAAATTTCTAGTAGTATTTGCCTCTGTGAGAAACAGGAGTGAAACTGGTCTGAGAATGTGAAGGAAAGCGAGGAACTGAAAACTCTTTAAATGATTCGACATAGTTTCTCTGAATATACCATCATCTAGATATGCTTTGGACATCTCCCCCAAAGGCTGGCCTATGAGCTTGTACCTCAATTGTAAGTGTCACAGCTCAGAGGAGGTAGAATCTTTAAGAGGTGGATCTGGAAAGGAAGTTAAGTCATTGGAGGGACTGCAACGGGGTGGGATTGATGGAGCCTTTGCAGGAACCAGGTTAGCTCCTGTGTAAAACTTAGAAAAGAGCTGGCCTGCACCTGGTCTCTGTAGATTACAGCCTCCTGTCTCTCCATGTGATCCCAGTCTATCAAATGTGCTTCCATCACAATGACATCTATTACACTGGGAATGAGCCAAGATGATCCGACCAGGTGAACAGATGAGGACACTCAATCTCGTTCTTCCAAATTGTGTGTTAAATAAGCTTCTTTTCCTTACATGCCACCTGTCTCAGGCACTTCCTTACACTTATATAAAATGGTCTCAGGTACTGTCTTCTACGGATCATGCAATAATGCTTTAAGTAACTGACCACTCATTCAGAATAAAGACACGCTTATCCTGTGCCTGCGTGTTCCTGCGGCACACAGCAATACTCCTGATGCTATTCTCGCCCAGAATATTAAAAAAAAACTCACTCAGAAACAATGAGGACAGAGCTAATTTACAGAGTTATTATTTACAGAGTTAAATAATAACTTAGAAAATCATCCATTGGTCATTTAATGCTAAAACATTACTTTGGGTTTTTTTTTTGTTGTTGTTTGTTTCATAGAGAAAAAAATGTATATAAACTTAACTTTCAAGCTTAACCAATTTTATAATAGCATACTTTAAAAGATGACCCTTGGTGTTCTGTAGTGTTTTGTGTGGAATTTATCACCCAGCTAGGAAGGCTTTTTTTTCCTAGAATAATTAAATAATAAGCTTTTATGAAAATCTTAACTAACCTTTCATATGGAAGTTTAAGTCTTTTTTCACATTTTCGACAATATTCTGTACCACGATGATGTTGGATGGCACGTAAGCCAATTCCCAAGAATGAGAAGAGGTAGCGATGAAGGGAGGGACGTCGCCGACCGGCTGGTCAGCATAACTGAGAGGTCCAATCTTCTTTACAGCAAGAAAGTGTCGTGCAGTCAGAAGAACACTGCTGAATATAACCATCAGGGCTATTTCAACAAATAAAGATCCAAATCGCCGTCTCTAAGAGAATTAAAGAACAAAATCGTGTTCATTTTCTCAAAAACAAAAAACAAACAAACAAACAAACAAACAACAACCTAAATTTTATTTAGCAAATGGCCATTCGTATATAGTAAGCTAATAAGATACTTCATTCAGATTACATAGGTGATCAGGAAGCATAGCTTTACTCTATGACAGATAAAATTTCAAAAATTTTTCTCTCTCCCATCTGACATTCTACTACTCCCTCACTCTGTGTAGATTCTGTGTTTGGAATAGATATCCTCAGCCCAGGAACTGAGGAAAGTAAAAGAGTATAAATTAAAAGGCAGTGATTGCAATTGTGGGAATCATTCCTTGACCATCTCTGCGCTGCTGCAACAAGATGAGGCAGAATTCAACTTACCTTTAAAGTAAAGTTCTTCCAAAGAAGAACCAAAAGCTTTTTGGATGCCAGTGAAGCCATTCTTCTTAACTGAAAGGGAGTTCAACTCTGGAGGAAATAAAGATTTTTTTTTTTTTAAGAAAAGAAAATTAAGATTATCTGAATCTTAAGATGTGTGTGTGTGTGTGTGTGTGTGTGTGTGTGTGTGTGTGTGTGTGTGT